AAAGCCCTTGAATACGAAAGAAAACAGATATAGCAAAGAGGACGAAGCAACGATCGAGGCGCCATCTTCGAATCTTAAATCTTGATACATTTCGATATAGCTTTGTAAAAATGTTATCAATGAACTGGCAGGGCTTTCCTCGTGAAAATGGGTCCAAACATGACTATGTTTAGAACATTCTTAAGTACTTTAATAAAGATTTAAAGAGAAGTTACAGAAGTTTTAGCAGACGTCAAAAAATGTACGAAATTTAAGCATTTTTAAAATTAAATTTTATATTATATAATAAAGATAGTATACATTTTATTGCTTCCTGCACTCTAGATTTCAATAAAAAACCCATTGATTATGCTCCCTTTGTGCAATATTGCAGCAACTTTGAATTTCTGTCTACTGAGTTTAACGAAGCAATTGTTACCCGTGTTTTTAACCCAGATTATCTTCTCTAGATCTTCTAAATAAAATAAAATGTCGATTTGGTAGTTCTACCATCGCGATTCATCCGCTATGCAATCGTTGTCGTTGCTATCTCTCGAATATACGAACTCTGACGCAAGCGGACCGATAACGCGTCAGGAATCGAATCAATTTCTGCTTAATGCGAATGCCCGCGACGAGGTGCAATCCGCGTCTCGTGTTTGTCTTCGTCGCGATCGGTATCCGATAATAATCAACTTAACAGAAGATTGAAAGCTGCGTTCGGAACGATCGGGAACGGTGATTTCACGCTCCGGCGAAACGGAGACGGGGGATGAAAAAAATTAACCGCAATCCGCAATGGTCGACGGCTATCACGAAATATATAAGAAATCGAATAACTCGTGACAAGTGCTTATTCGCGATTCAATTGGTGCCAGGCTATTAGCGAAATTCGTGGTTTTACGAACGAAACCGCCGGAAAGAACGGTACAGAAAACTCCACGACTCGAACGTTTATTTATATAAGCGTGGGCTCTTTCGCAATTTACCCTACGGCGAATCGACTTGGAATTTTTCGATTAAAGAACCAGAGTCGAAGAGTTGGTAATTAACAATTAATTCGATCGAAAAATCGAACGTAGGAAGTGGATATTTTCCTTTTGAAACTTCGTAACACTTCGAACGAAGTTCTGTGATTAAACACCGGGGAAACTTGCAATCGTCTTTTAGTTTAGAAACTGATTTTTTGCTTTGATACCTGAGTGCAGAAGCTAAGATAATGGTATATAATTATTGGGTATATCGAGAAATTTATGAATCATTAATACGGTCTTCCTGCAAGTTGCTTTTCTTTAAGAGCTCTTTTTGAAGAGTACAAACTATATACATAATTTCTGCAGGAGATAGGTATAATTATCATTCTATTAAACGATATCAAACTAGTAATCTAACACAAATCTGTGCGTTTTTTATTTCCCCTGTAACCAGTTTCCTCCATTTCTCTCCAATTTTGTTTAATTCGTAAGGCACGAGTCTTCACCGTGGAATTATTATTATCGATTTATTTAATATTCGCAATCCTCGTCCCACTTCCCTGGCGAATCCCATTAATGGTCGTGCAATTACCAACGAACGAACGTGCATTTTCGAAGTTTCCAGCTGTTGACCGACTGTTTGGCTCGCGTAGGTGCCTATGTACGCTCCCAGCACGCGAATTAGAGCCAACGTAAACCGTGGAGTGAATGTAGTTGTCCTTCTGGTTTCCAGCACGAAAACGCGGACAGTGCAGGACACTTCGTGCGTCATACACGTTCACGATCTCCAAGCCGTTCTCTATCGTACCGCAAAACCTATTATTCTTTCCGATCGCCATTAAATTCCAATCAGTTTCCCATATCGAGAGTCTCCCACGAGTCCAAATAACCAAAGAAAATTGCGTCGACACAATATTTTCGTAATGTTTCCTGTATTAGAAAAGCCTTCTTGTTTCTGGAAATACAGATTCATTTCAAAATTTAATTAATGCGTATTTAAGAGGTATTTGTCATATTAAGCAGTATAATTTTCTCTAGATTCGCAGCCATTAGCTCGGTGTTACCCACGAGGAAGAATATTCGATCGTGAGTAACACCGATTACCAGGTCTCACCACGTGGAGGTTGCTGCGAGTGGAGACCCGAAGGGAGATGGATGGAATCCAAGTTCCACCTATCTCCCTTTTACATTCTTCTAAACTAGAGAGATAGAAGGAAGGAAACGTTCCCTCGATCTTCTAGATTAGTTGTATCGAGCAATTGTTTGGTTAAAAGGGGTGAAGCTAGTTTAAGGGAGACGCGAACCGAAAAGCTGATCCAAAAGATCAGCTCGTTGCCTCTTGGGAAGTTCGATCCAAGGGGAAGTGCACCGGCCGAAATACCCTTTCCCTTGGATCGTTTCCACCAGAGGACGGCAACTGACCCTTCGAACTAGCTAAACGGCCGATCGCTTGCTTTCTACATCGAAGCAGTGCTGATCGGAGCAAGAGACGAGAGATCGAGGGAGAAAGAAGCTACTTGATAATCAATTGCTTGACACGTACGCGTACAATGTAGTCGTCGACGCTTAAGTCTAGTTTAATTTTGCCAAGTAATTGTTTTGTTCAAAGAGGGTGAAGCTAATGCGAGGGAAACGCGACTCGAAGCGAGAAACGAAAGAACGAGAGAACGAGAAGCTACTTGTTTTATAATTACTTGGCAATATTGGGAGACTTAAAATTAACGTCGAAACTCGAGTCTGGTCAAGTTGAAACTAAAATTCGGACGATAGAAGGGAACAGAGTTCCTTTGATATTCTGATTTAGTTGTACCAAGCAATTATTTGGTTAAAATGGGGGATGAAGCTAATTCGAGGGACACGAGACGCGACGCGACGCGACGCCGAACCGTGCAGCGGATCCGAGGATCGAACCTACTGCCCTTGCTAACTAGATCTCTATGGGATAATGGACGGCTGCGACTCCGAATCGACGGTCTCCATTTCTCCAACGCAACCCGCCGGGAGCCCGAAGGACCCGACTCAAGTTGTCTGACATAGAGAGAGTACCTTGAAACAGTGTCGACTTCCGCTGGAGGGTATGCGTTTCCGCAGGATACGGAAACTCCACACCTTCCAGCAGAGTACCATTTTCCCTGGATCGAGCTACCAAGGGAAGGCGATTAGATCTTTCGGGCCAGCTACACGGCCGATCACATGTTTCCATCGATGAAACAGCGGTGACCGTAGCTAGGAACGGGGGAACGAGCGGGAGAGAAGCTAGTTGATCAATAATTGCTTGGTAGAGCGCGGTGATATGTATAATAAAGAAATCTTCGACGTTAATTTTAATGTTCGCGACGAAGCTTAAGTCTAATATACTTGGAATTAAATATCCTTCGGTGGTTGTGGCGTCTTCCCTCGATGCCCTTGGAATCTATCTGCAATAGATCTGAACTGAAACAAAAACTAATACTTGCATTAGTATCATGTTAAAGAAAATTTAATAAATCCTATTCGATCCATCTGTGATTCTACAAGAGGGGAAATAATTTGTTCAGCTGATGTGTCGAAGAAGCTGAGAAATTCTGAAATATTCCTAGGCCGAATACAGTTATTGTATTTAGATTAATATTTCTCGATGGGTAGACCTACCTACCAAAATATATTAAATACATTCAGTCAAAATGACTGAAAAATTTCAGATTAATTGATAGACGATGATGATAAATCTAGTTGGCCAGTAAAAATATTCTACGAAATGAGGAACATCTTGCCAAGTCAGATTCGATTAATACCACAAGTAGTGAAATCGACAAAGCAATTTCGCAAACAAAATCGAAATAAAGATTCAGATTAATCGCCAAAGACAGATAGGAGTCCAGGAAAGAAATGGAACCAGAAATAGTAAATGATCGCAGGAAATACTGCATAGAGAATCATTTTCTTTCAGTCATATATGGTCAAAGTAACGCAACAATTGTCAAAATAATAGTAGAACCAGTCAAAATCGAAATAAAAATTCAGATTAATCGCCAAAGACAGATACGAGTTGAGAAAAGAATTGGAACCAGAAATAGTAAACGATCGAAGGAAATACCTCATAGAGAATCACTTTCTTTCAGTCATATGTGATCAAGGTAATACAACAATTGTCAAAATAATAGTAGAACCAGTCAAAATCGGAATAAAGATTCAGATTAATCGCCAAAGACAGATAGGAGTCCAGGAAAGAAATGGAACCAGAAATAGTAAATGATCGCAGGAAATACTGCATAGAGAATCATTTTCTTTCAGTCATATATGGTCAAAGTAACGCAACAATTGTCAAAATAATAGTAGAACCAGTCAAAATCGAAATAAAAATTCAAATTAATCGCCAAAGACAGATACGAGTTGAGAAAAGAATTGGAACCAGAAATAGTAAATGATCGCAGGAAATACCCCATAGAGAATCATTTTCTTTCAAAGTCATGTATGGTCAAGGTAACGCAACAATTGTCAAAATAATAGAGGAACAAGTCAAAATCGGAATAAAAATTCAGATTAATCGCCAAAGACAGATAGGAGTCCAGGAAAGAATTGGAACCAGAAATAGTAAACGATCGAAGGGAATACCCCATAGAGAATCATTTTCTTTGAGTCATATATGGTCAAAGTAACGCAACAATTGTCAAAATAATAGTAGAGCCAGTCAAAATCGAAATAAAAATTCAGATTAATCGCCAAAGACAGATACGAGTTGAGAAAAGAATTGGAATCAAAAATGGTAAACGATCGAAGGAAATACCCCATAGAGAATCATTTTCTTTCAGTCATATGTGGTCAAGGTAACGCAACAATTGTCAAAATAATGGAAGAACCAGTCAATAGAATGTCCCATTGTATGTAAGAAATGATGGAAACAACCACAGTAACGAAACGAAAACCGATAAATTTAATAAACCCAATTCTTCGTCAAACGGTAGTCAAAAATGAGCGAGCAAGCTTGAAATTAGAAAAATAAGAGAGAGAGGGGATATTTGAGCAAGACTTACTACTGGTCAGCAACTGGTCACTATTGGTCATCCTATGCTCACCACTGGTCAACTGGTCAGCACTAGTCAAGTGGTCAGTAGTGGTCAGGACTGGTCAGTAGTGGTCAGCAGTGGCCAATAGTAGCCCCCAGGTCAGCCAAGGAAGGTCCCAGTACGTCTAGGTAGTCAGGATGTCCTCTTCCCCCGGAGTCCCCCACACGACTAATTGTAAGTGATTTTGGTCACGGCAGCGCCATATGTGCCTCCTCTAAGGTGACGGAAGAGTGGGGAGAGTGGCGTGAGCCATCTCAACCGTTCGTCAGGTCAACCAAGGCATAATTTCGCGAAAAATTAATATTCGCACACACTGACAGGCCCTTTCATTGTTCTAGCAATGTCACAAATTCTCCACCCACTCCTCCCCCTAGCCTCCAGTCCTACCAGTGTCCCTACCGGTTTAATCCGTACCCTACAAGTTCCCATTGCAATTTTTAATCAGAGAAAAAGCCTTTGAATCTCTCAACTTTGAAGTTCTTCTTCTTGCAGTTCGTGCAGAGGTGTCTAGCATTGACGATACCGATCTGCTTGGTCCTGTCGGTCGAATTCGGCGCGGTTCAAGCCGAACGATGGTCACGACAGGTCTCGAACAGCGAATGGATCCCATTACCGGATCCCAGAGCCTCTCAAACCCAAATTGAACAGAACAATCCATCGTCCGGAATCGTGGCGAGCGGCTCCGCTCAACTGCCCCAACTCCCGCAACTGTCCTTGCCACCTACTCTTCAACAACAGTACCAGGAACAGCTTCTGCAGCTTCAGAAGACGCAGGAGAGCATACAGAAGCTGTTGCTGCTGCAACAACAGCTCAGGACCCAGCAGCAGCTCCTTCAGGTACAAACAAGATTCCTGTTCGAATCGATTCTTGATTTCATCCTTTGGACTTGAGGAAATTTCTGGTTCCTCAGTCACAAGCGTTCCTGCCCAGCGGATTCAGTAATCCGGAAGAGGACAAGCGACAGCAACAAGGTGGATTGCACTCCCACACGGGGCCAGATTTGGCTCCGGAGGATTTGGTACCGCCGCTTCCTGCCACCGACGCTCTGCCACCGGTGTTCCCCGCGCAGAATTTCCTCCCTCAAAGACCCAGGGCTCATCCACCTCCACCTCCACCGAAACAGGACAGAGAAGGTCCCCAGGAGTACGCGACTCTGCCCGGTCAGAGCTTCAAGAACGGCCACTTGCTCCAACAGGGACAGAACGTCGACGTTGGACAGCTCGAACAGATTCAGGAGAACCAGCGACCTGGGGCCAAACACTTGAAGGATGGGAATCAGGCGTTCTTCGTGCCTCAGCCCGAGCACTCGCAGGACGAGGAGGAAGAGGTCAGTGCGCTCGATCATAGTTTAAATTGTTGAAAAAGATAACATAAACGTTTAGTGTAAAAATGCAGCGATGGTGCCACGTGTACTCTAATCTTAACCTAAACGGGACACTTAAAACTAGGCGCCAAGTTATTGACTCGCATACTCAAGATCAAGTTTCCCAAGATCGTGGAAAAAAGAATCGTTTCGCGTGTTTCAGGTGCAGCTGGTGTACGTGCCGGCGGAAACGCTGGCGCAACGAGGCCAGCCAAGAGGCCGCGGAAGGAAGCAGCATCCTCATCGTCAGCAGCAGCAGCAGCAGCAGCAGCTGGTGCAACAGCAGCATCAACATCACCGTGAGAACCAGGGGGTGGAGCAGGTCGGCATTTCTCACGACCAGGACGCGTTCTCCCGTCAGCTGCTGCAGCAGATACAGATGGAACGCGAGGAGAAGACCCAGTTCCTGAAGGAGGAACGCATGAAGGAGATCGCCAGGCTGAACGAGGAGCAAAGGGCGCTGGAGAGGAAGGCACGGCTGCAGCAGGAGGCTCTTCAGCGGGAACAGGAGCTGCAGAGGCAACGGGAGGCTGAGAAGAAGAAAAAGGAGCTGGAGAGGCTGGAGGAGATGGCCAAGCAACGAGAATTGGAGAGGATCCGCGAGGCCAGGGAGAAGCAACGTTTGGAGGAGTTAGAACGCAGAAGGTTGGCGGAGGTTCGCGCCAAGGAAGAGAAACGACGGGCTGAGGAGGCTGCCAGGCAGAGAGAGGCCGAGAGGCTAGCTGCCATGGAGAGGCAGAAGGAGCTGGAGATTCAGGAAGCCTTGAAGCAACAACAGCTCCTGGACAAGCAACGCGAGGACGAGGCAAGAGCGACCAGCGCTCTGAGCCAACACCAGGACGTGCAGTCGCAGGCTCTGCCTCTGATCAGGGACCAGCAGGACTTCCATCGTCAGCACGTGGGCTCGACGAAGCCGGTCAGGAGCAAGATTCGCACCAGACACCGTCAGCGAAATCAGTACCAGGAGCAACAGAGTTATCGGGAACCGACCACCACCCCATCACCCAACCAGCCACCCCTGTCCGTTTACATGGGAAACTCACACTCGAAGGCAAACTCTGCCAGGGTGTCGGACGTTCTGAAGATACTGAAGGACGCCAAGACGATCGCTGTCTTGGACACCGTCGGCCCAGACACGCCTCAGGTCTTCGTAGGTCCGACCAGCTTGGACCCACCGCTCGGTTACGCCAAGTTCGACCTGCCTTATCTCTCGTCCATCGATCACAACCGAGTGGAGAGGAAGGTGGACAAGTTGCCCTTCTTCGTAGCGCCCCTGAGCTTCGATCCTCCGCCAGGCTACTCGAAGATACCGTTCCCATCGCCTCACATAGGATCGGTAGTCGTGAACACCTTGGACAACACCGATCCCAAAGACGGCGACGATCAGAATCCCAGTCCCACGCCCCTCATCGAGCCTAACTCTTACAGCGACGGACTCGACGGCGGTCTCGACCCCACGACTGCTCTCTACGAGCCTCAGACGACCGCTGGATACTCCCAGGACGTGTCCAGCACCCCGTCGCCCGGATACTCGGGGTCCAGGTTCAGGTTCAGGCAGTTCTACGGCGACAGCAAGCCAGCCTCCGTGATCAGCACGGCTTATTACGAGGATCAGAGGCCCACCACGAGGAAGCACAAGTATTACGACGATGGTTCCAGGACCACGGAGAGTTCCGTGCAACGTCCCAGAGTGGAGACTTCGGTGAGCCAGATAGAGGATGTCTCGTACTCCACTACTCCCAGCTACAAAGACGTCGATCCTCAGGATCCCTCGACCAAGAATCAGGATTTAACTGCCCAGCTGGCGTTGATAAACCAAGAACTGGCTCAGCAGAGAGAATCTCAGAGGTACAATCCCGGAGGGCAATATGGTCAAGACAATTCCCACTCCACGTCCGGTCTGAGCAACAGTTTCGAGAGCGCAATAACTGCTGGCGACCTGAACGACGTCAGAGCCCCCATTGGACCCACTCAGTACAGCCTCCCGGCAGAGTTGCCAGCCATTTCACCGCATTTGCCTGGCCTGGTGAATTCGTTATTGGACAGGAACGAGGGTAAACTGCAGGCTAGCACCGTCGCCACACCCTCCACGACCCCATCCACCACCACCACCAGTACTACCACCCAACGCACTCCTACGACCACCTACAGGACACGTGGACGCCAGAGGTACGTGGTGAAAAGCATTTCATTTATTTTACAATGATATTGTAGCGTCAGCTCTCGTACTCGTTACCAGAGGACTACGCTCTTGTCTCTCTTGTAAGCGTTCCATCCTCGCTCCTACGATCTTTCTCGATTTCCTACACCAGCGAAGGAGCGCCACAATATCAATAAGTATCTCGTCTCGTCTCACACGATATCTCATTAATATTAGGAACAGGGTCGTCACCACGAGACCGAGGACGACGACCCAGGCCCCGTCCACGAGATCGACCACCGACAGAAACCGTCGACCCTACAACAGATCTAGATCCAGGTACACCACGACCACCGAGGAATATCGGGAGTCGGCGTACGAGCCTAGCAAGTCCAGGATCCCGGAGACTACGTTGAAGTACAACACGGAGCACAGGAGGCCCTCCAGCAGGACGCAGAAGTACAGGAATCGGGAGAAGACCCTTCACCAAGCTGAGGTGCTTGCTTCTCATATTTGTTAAACCAATTTAGCAAAAATCAGTTGAGATCGAGAGTCAACTTAGACTTTCAATTAGCAGCTTATCGATTTAGAAGTCCGGGTGACGCAACTGAAATGTCTTACTGTTCGAACAGCAGCAGCTGCTCGTGCAAAACCAGGAGCCGCAGACGCAGCAGACGTTCGAGAACCTCCCCCATGGCGACTCGCCCACAACGGGGAACGCGTATCTACAACCGAGCGGTCCAGACGGCAGCCTAAACGATTTCTCCCCGGAGAATTATCCGTCTAGCACGGTGGTCAGCACCACGGAGAACTATCCGACGTCGTTGCGGGACGCGACGGTGAACCACGGCTCCCCGTTGGTGTCCGACGATTACTCGAGGCACCAGAACTACCCCCAGAGCCTCCCGGAGCAATCAAACTATCGCGGCGGCTACGATCAGGCTACCCTGGAGCAGACCGGCCTCGAGAAGACCCCGGTGAACGGATTTAATTATCAGGCGCAGAGCGGGGATCCGTTGGACCAGGGTATCCTACAGAGACCCAAGGACTATCAGCTGGACGGCAAGGCGGAGAACAGCGACTACGAGCTGGCCACCACCGCCGATCCGCGGTCCAGGATACCCGACGAGCAACGTTACTCCTCCATCTACGAGGTGAACGTGCCTCAGGGCCAGCCGGAGTACAGTTTGACCGGGCAGGACAATCTCCATCGTCTCGAGAGCGAGAAGATCCAGAGCGCTGTCATCCACAACGACCCCAACGAGCAGCCCATCTTCGTCCCGCTGCCGGAGAACAAGCAGGAGGACTACGAGCTACCCGTCTCGTCCACCGAGGTCACTCTGTCCGACGTGAGTGAGGGAGAATCTTAGAAACTGTCTAGATGCCTTTGTTAGATCAAAAATTTTAATGGAAGATTCTGGAAGCCTCTATCTACAAATTGGTATTCTTGATTTTCGTCTTTGGCCTCCAGAATCTCCCATTAAAATTTTTCCCAGAGGTAACTGAATACCCTGGATCTTCCAAACTGATGACTTGTGACTTCAGATAACGACAGAGACCACCACGACCAGCACCACCCCCGTAGTGATACGTCAGCGGCTCCGAGGACGCATCAGTACTCGCGTGCACCACGAGCCGACGGTTCAGACGCAGAACAGAGGCTCCCAGGACGAATACGTTCGCTTCAACGTGGTGAATCAGGACTCCACCCGTACGTCGCACAATCGACAAAGGAACAGACCCAGGACGCGTGCACAAAGCCACGGATCCCAGGTGCAAACGGATGGCAACGAGTACATCAAGATCCACGCGGTACAACAGCAGCGACAAATCGCCACCACGACGATAGCGCCGTCCACGATCACGACGACCACACCCCCGCCGGAAGAAGACATCGATTACGGATTTATAAGACCGCCGAACTTCCGACCGGTACATCCGGTGGACAATAGGTTCCCGGCGCCTGTTACCTATCGGCCCCAGCTTTCAGAGGTAAGGGAAATGGAACCGAATGTGCCAAACGACAGATCAATTCTTGCCTATTCTTGGAAGTCAAAAGAAGATTAACAGTAATTCTCTATTAGTTCATTATTTTTTAAATGCTTTGAAGGAAGGTTGATTTCCATTTACCAACTTGGTAAAGATCAACATTGAGTACAATTATTCGGTCGAGATTGAGAGTCCACTTAACCCTTTGCACTACGAATTATATTTCAATTTTGTTACCAGCAGCTCCCAACGCCTTTAAGTGTTCTATTTTAAATTTACCTGTTAAAATATCTGTTTTATTTACACTGTTGTTGTATCTTGTAATTTCCAAGTGTACGATATCTCTTTGGTTTGGACTTGACGAAGGAGTTCCTGAAATAAAAATTGACGTCGAATCACACTCGACATAGGAGTGCAAAGGGTGAAGGGTTAATAAGATGGGTTAATATACGCCATCTTGTATGTATGCAGGTTGACCACTGAGGAATTATTTTGCTAAATATTAGAAATGAACTCTGAAACAGGTGCCGCAGCAATCCCTGCTCCCCAGCGAGGGAATCGAGTCTGTCGAATCGAATCCTCAGACACAGTTGCTGAAGACGCGTCAAAAGTACCAACCGACGCCTAATCGTCGGCTGTCGGGGAAGCCCACCACTCTGCCACCTACGACAACGCCGTCTATAGAGGCCGCGACCACCACGGAAAGAATACCTGTTGCCACCATATTGCCGGACGACGCTATATACACGGTGAAATCGAAGTCGCGACCCGACGAACCGAAACAGACGCGAGTAAGGAGCAGGATCCGACGACCCGTGAAGAAACGCGTGACCACCACCAGCACCACAGAGTCCGTCCTGGAGGCGCACAACGAGCTACCCTTGGACGAGAATTATCCCCGGATAGCCGGTCAGCCGTCCACCACCGAGCAACAACCGAATCTCTACGACGACAATTACGACGGGCAGTTCCCTTCGTCGCGTAATCCAACCGCTCATCAGTTCTACGAATCGTCCAGCGAGAACGTGAGTGTTACGTAACGGCCTACCAGGCGAATTACAGGGGACTTTGGACGCCCTGCAGCTAATGGGGGCTTGGACTTGTCATTAGAAATTCGAGTACTCGCGTACCCACCACCCTACCAACACCCTACGCTTCGATCGATTCCTGTTTTGCCTCGTCAGGCCAGATGGGGATAATCGACTCCTTTTTTGGGGGATTGTCGAAGTCCTGAGTCCTTTTTCCTTCTTTGAGACTGTTGAAGTTACGAGCCTGGGAATAATCATTCCCTGAGGATTCAAAATTTTAGAACGTGCACTGGTGCTCGTCAATATTGGAGCTCTCCTTATATAAATATCTAACTACCAAAGCGGTGGATCGATAGAGCAACTCTCTAGCCCAAATTTCAGAATCGTCCCGAATTAGATGAGTATTTGTGATCTATCTTTGCGTACCAAAATCGAAATCTCGTCTCGTTTGCAGTATCCGTCCGAGTTCGTGCTGAATTTCGGCAACTACCCCGAGCAGGGATCGCAACGCGAGGAATACGACCAGACGCAATTGGCGAGCAACGCGCAGAGGAAATACAGCCAACCGTCCCTAGGCAAGTCGTCGTCTGAGGACTCACGCTCGACACCCGCCGATATTTACGGCGCGGAGAGCCAGTGGTCGACGAAACTGACCAGGACCTCGTTCCAGCCGAGTCGTACAGCGAACCAGGTGGCCGGGGAGCAGGCCAAGGATCGCGAATGGTTTCACGAGTCCCTGAAGGACCTTGGCGCCCCGGAGATAATCACCGCCGGGCCGGAAGTCTCGTCCGTCACTCTGGTCGTTTCCTCCGACGACAAAAGGAGCAGCGAGGAGGACACCAGGGACGAGGAGTCGATGCTGATGGGCACCACGGACTTTGGGAGGAAAACGGCTGTCCAGGACCACACGGAGGAAGTCAGGACGACGAGCGTCACCGGTCCGCCGACCACGATAACGCAGAACAAATACGACGACCAAGCGGAGACCTGGCTGACGGACAAGGTGGAAAATTCCACCGAGCAACAGACCGCTATCGATTTCGCCAAGATACAGAAGAAACCAGCTGACCCACCCGCTGTTAGAAAGGTACGGTACGCACTGGGTGCTTGGAAAGACTTGTCACTAGAACTACAGACGATTATAGTGTATTTATTTAGGTGAAGTCGCGTGTAATGCAATGGACATAAGTGTTTGTTAGGTCTCTTAGAGAAAATTGCGGTTTTTCATTAATATTGCGGGGTCCATTGCTTCTTGTACTTGCTACCAGAGGGCCACGCTCTTGACCCTCTCGCTAGCGCTCGACCGACTCTCAATATCCCAGCGTTTAACAGTCTCCGCAGCCCTCTCTTTTCTCTTTCCCCTATATTAATAAAAAAAAATGTGTTTCAGGTCGCGCGAAGGAGAAGAGTTCGCGTGCGCGTGAGACCAGCGGTGGACGACTTCGTGACAGCGGAGTCCCAGCACTTCAATTCGGCGGTGAACGGTTTGGTTCGCGAGCAATACAAGTACAGTAAGCATCCCACGACCACGGAGTCGAGCTCGTCCGAGGAGTCGATTCTGCAAGACTTTCTGACGGAGATCCTGAAGGAGGGCAAGACTACAGCGAGGCCCACGACAACGGAGGCACCAGAGGCCGCATGGACCATGTCTCCTGCGATGACTACGCCGATAGTTATCCCGGACGACGTGGAGGAGACGACCGTGAACGAGATCCAAGCCACCACGATGCCCACCACGGACAGGCTTCAGGAAACAACCACCATGAAGTCCTCCTACGAGGACATGGTCACGCAACCGACGTCAGAGAGGACTTCCTCGACGGAGGAAGACAAAGGCGACGGGGGAAAGAAGTTGACGGGTCAGAATCAGTGGGAGAAGAGCGTCCAGGATGCCTTGGACCTGGGTTTGCTCGCTGAGAAGTACACCGCGAAGGATAACGACGTGGACAAGCCGAATGAGGAGGAGTCCGTTCAGAGCGACGAGGACTCGGCCAGCACGCGATCGAAGACGATCAACAGCGACGAGAGTTTCGGGGGCCTCGACGATGAGAGAGAAAGTGGCTCGGAGTCGTTCGAGGAGGACCAGGAGTCCAGGGAAGACAATTACGCCCATCCGAAGAATCACAGGACCAAGTGGAGCGAGGTGAGGTATCCCTCCGCGTTCGATCATTCTCTGTCACGGAAACGCGACCCTAAAGCCAGCGTCGAGCCCTCCATACCGGGTCTGGTGACCAAGAACGAGGGCGACGCTAGCGTCAAGACGCTGTCGGATTACGTGAAGGCGATCTTCGATACCATGAAGAGCGTCGAGGAGGAGACTACGGTCGCGAACACGGAGAGACCGGAAACCACGACTACTTCGCAGATCCCCACGGAGGCTGAGTTCTCGACGAAGGATTCAGGCGTTCGTGTCACCACCGAAACGGTTATTCCCACGACTGAGAATCCAACGACCTTGGAACGAGTCGCCACGACGCCAGAGATCGTCACGGATCCACCCTCCACGACGACCCCAAAGCCTCTCAGCACCACTGCGGCGAGCAACGCGACCGAGACGATCCTGGGGAAGGTACTACGGACGTCGACGACCACCAGGGTCTCCCACATGACGGAGATCTGCTACAGGGGCCGGTGCGTGATGACCAGGCCCAGCCAGGACGATCGGTTCAGATGAAGGGGACCCACGAAATCGTCGCTACCTTCCGACGAGTGCTGAAAAGACGGATCTGCACAGGGGGGCGGGGGGCCTCGTAACGCGCGATCTGCTCTTATTTATTTACCAGGGATCCGATTTGTTCGCGCGTCGAGGCGGTGTTTTATTTTTTTTTTTTTTTTTTTTGTATATTTCCAACGCGTGGGTGCGTGCGATCCGAGTGGAAGGGACAAGTATATTTTCTTTCGGTTCACCAAACCTGAGTTTATCAGCATTCGACACTTGCTTCTTACCGAGAGCGGGACAATCGAGTTTCTCTTTCAATGGATCCGCGAAACAGCGGTACGTGTGACTATTTTTAAGAGCAAAATTCTACACACCGAGCGGATGAAACTTGCGGAAGGGACCGTGGGTCCCAGTCTGTTCCTTCTCACGGAAAATGGTAAACAAAGTTTCTCCAAAATGGCCGTCCACGTAGGATTAAATCAATCGAACAGTCCCGATTCGATCGTGGACGAATCATCTACGAATAAAGCGTCTCCAAAAGCCCCCCAGGTTCCCTATCCCCTGCGTTCAACCCTTGTACAACCCCCCCGTGCCGCTGGTGAACGTGTTAAAAATAATCTGGCGTACCCTGGTTCGAGCACCCGGTCGCCTCGAGATCGATCGTGCGTCGTGACGCTTGTTCGCGGAATGGGGAAAAAATGTAAGAAGGTGGCGAAACGTTTCTGGTCGCCCTTCGACTAGGATCGTAACCGGAAACGGAGGCAGCGTCGCTTTAAACGATAGAGGGCCGAGTCCGTTTCACCGAGAACTACCTTCCGCCCGCTGTTGGTACACGTGTAAGTTAAGCGTTTAAGTATTTTAATAAAAACGTACGAAAGCAACGGTCTCGTTTGCACGCGACCCTCCGAGGAGTCCTTTCACCCCTGGGTACACGACAGCCAGGCTTAACGAACGTCCCACGCTTATCGACGATCAGTTAAGCGGGTAACCACTCGTGAATTATTTATACACTTCCCCCCCCCCCTCTTTCCCTCGACACGTGATTACTCTCAACCGATCACCGAGACGCGATATTTTTTTAAAACATAGAATTTTCGAATTTAAATTTAGAAACAACACGAAAACGAAGTTAGAAGTTTGTATTCATTGTTCTCGAATAAAATTTTGTCGAGACATCGCGAGGACACTATGGGTTTCCTTTTCGACGAGGAAACGGACAACTTCGACAAGCACTCGCCCCTTTCGCGTTAAATTGAGCCAATAAACTCTCCGTTCTAAAGTTCACCGGAGTTCATCGACCCGGCCGCATCCCTTTTAATTAACCCCCATTGTTTTTATCGAAAATCTCTTAATGGCCGTCGAACTATTCTAGATGTAACCCGAATTATCGCGACTCGATCTAACGATCGCTTATTACGCATTAACATAACCTAGAAAAGAGAAAAAAAAAAGAGACCTTTCGACTGTTCCAGTTTTGCAGTCGTCGACTTCGTTCGAATCGATTCGAACCGGAATCAAAAATATAATTTCGAATCGATAGAGACGGTTTGGTTTCGATACCATTTTATACGTTAATTGGAACATAGTTTTCGAAAGATATGGAACATCGTACGAAAGGAGAAAGACCAACCCAGATGTCGGGCATCGAATTAATTTCCCGACCGATTCGATTGCGTCACTCGTTCGATCATCGTTTCGAACTGAATTCGGTCCACGAAATCCCCTGGTTTTGTTTATCGATGCGCGAGCTGGTGAAAGCCCGTCGCGTTCGACGAAGAGAATTATCAAAGCGTGCCGGAAGTCGCATTACGATCATTTTCCAATAGCGACGGTTGCCTATCCCGTCATGGCAGGTTGCTATTCAATCGGGGGAGGAGAGAGGCACGGCCATCGATTCCTTTCGATATCTGTGCCAGGAGAACGACACCCCTGCCGTTTCTGATGGCCACTTCGCTTCCGGAAATAGGAAATAATCTGCTCGACAGTGTCTCGGAATAGACTAACGACGGTTGAATATAGAGCGTGCCCTTGACACCCTCGAAAGAGTCAATTTCCCAGTCACAGCCTCCCCGATTCCGTGCTTTTAACGCGTCCAACCCCCCCTCCCCCCTCGTCCATGTTTTTCCAAGCTGGTTCGCGGCGAGAAAACCTCCAACGCACGACTTCCGGCCACGTACGACGCCAGCAAAATATTTCGAGTCTAAAATATGCAACGATCCGCTTTACAGCGTCCCCGAAACCCAATCTATCGTAACTGTTGGGAACATCTGTATTCATCGAGATTTTTATCGAGAAAAGGAACTCTGCTCGTCTCTGGTACGCTTCTGCAACCCTTTCAAGCTCGACCTTCTTTTTAAAACGAACGTAACTTTGAGTCTGAACGATAATAATAATTACAAATCACCTTATCGATTTGTGTTGGGTCAGCTCGAAAGCAAAACATACGAATTAATACCAGATTTTTAACTGTTTGAAGGGGGATGAATTCTCCTATCGGTGTTAATTAATTTTATGTTTGTACGATTTCGAGATTTCGCCTCGAGGGCGCTCCGGAAAGCGAAAAATTTCGGTTGCAGGCGAGAGACGGGTAAGAGTCGGGCGTTAGGAGTATTAACCGAGCCGTTAACCTAATTTTTATGTAGCACGTGTGTTCGAGGCTCTCGATGGTATCACATGGTCTGGAAAACGGCTAGGGAAGGAGAGGAAACGATAAAGGTGGCTGGTATCGTAGAGTAGTCGAGCGTAAAATGGCGTTGCACGCGATCGATGGCGTGCCTCGTCTGAAGTTCGCCACAGATGGCGGAACTACGCGAAAATGTTACCTTGTTTCGCGGAAACGGCGAGAGTGACTCACGGAGCATCGACATCGGCGACGGAGTTTCGCACGGCCACAACTTTTACGCGGTGAAAATCATTTTCAAACTTCATATTACGTGATAAAACGAACGACGGTGATTGTTCCCTTCTAATTTACGCGGGAGAAAACTAATCGTGGATTTAAAAAATATATAGTCTTCTCCAAAAGGGAATTTTTTACAAGACGAAATTTTAGAAAAAGGGAAAGGTGGTATTATTCTTTTGTTATTCGTAATAAAACTCGTTATGGATACGTTTGTTATATTTCGAAATTAGATTCTTAAAAAATGGTATCATCGTGAATCAGGAAGCAATCGTTAATTCCAACAGCATTCGCATTATTCCAATCTAATAGTCTTGATTGAAATCTTAAATCAACCTTGAATAAAAAGAAAAAATTGAAAACCAATGGACCGAACAAAAATTGGACTCGGTGGACCGTCTAAAAATTGACGTGGTACCTGTCTAACGTCTTCCAGTATTCTTCGGATTAATTACCGAAAAACTTTCGAAAACTGTCAGGATGAGTGTCTCGAAAACGATCGTCGATTCGGATGAAGCTGGTTATGCGTGCAAGATTCGTAAAATCGGCGTATCGGAAGGAGATTCGTCCGAGTCCGGTGGGCCGCCTAAAAATTGATTCCGTGGGAGTGCGCGGGGGCAACGTGTGGCGCCTCCAGGCGGTCAGCGCCGCGGTGTCCCGCAGCGAGGTACGAGTGGTGGGAGAGAGACAGACGGCCGAGAGTGGCGGAGCGCAAGGGGTTGCATAGAGGGAGCGAGTTCAGTTCAGGCGCAAAGATCCTCGGTTAAGGACGCGTCGGTCCTGCTAATCGGGACACTATGCCAGGCGGCGAGGGGTCCCCGATCAATCTCCTCGACCACCGTGCATCGACCACGTCCGGCGAGTGCGCGAACAGTGACGAAGATGAGAGGACAACGGACACCGTTTCTAGCACGATGACGACCGCCCTCGCGGGCGACGGGCTCAGACGGAGGAAGGTCATACACGCGGCCAAAGAAACCCTCGACAAGGGTGAGTTCCCCGTAACCCCTCATGTCCGTTCGTTGTCCCTTTTCGTGGTCCGGGTTTCGTTGTCCCTATCAGCGGGACGGGGCACGGCCAGAAACGACGTGCGGATAAACGCGCGCTCGAGTGGCATCCTCCGGGGTGGGTGATAAACACGATGACCCGTGGACGGACGGGTTTCAACGGGTTCGGACAGGCTACGCGCTCGATTCGCTCCGCCTTCCTCTCCAAGTGTGCGTTTAAGTTCGAGAAAAAGAGGAGAGAGACGCCGGACTCTCACCCTCTCCCCCTCCTGCCCCCGTGCTGTGCGCAGCCACAGATGCGGTGCGCGAGTTCTCCGCTGTGCCGCTGCGGGTACGCGTGCACTCGGAACGGTGTAAAGGCTTGTACACAATCGTTACAACGACCACTCCGGAGCTACGGTTACAAGGGGGGTAACGTCGATTCTCCTTTCCTCGGGGCAAGAGTTCTCCCATCGTTGTAACGTACGTGTGTGTTTACACGGTTGCCTACCCTCCCGGGAGAAAGTCACCAACCTGGTGATTTTCTCCCGTAGGGCATCGAGGAACCACGAGTCTGATTCAGAGTAGTTTATATCGGGGTCTGTCGGGGTCGAGGTGTTGACTGATCAATTACGGTATAATCTCCTTCCGAGAGAGCTTAGGAGATTATAACCAGTTCCCCTTTTGGTCCTACATTTATTGACTCCATTATTAACCCCGAAACGGCGACATTTTCCCGGCGAGATAAGCGTCGCGATAGGAGGGAACGTTCGCTGTAAGCCCGTTGTCGCGACAGGGGTTATCGGAAAGCTGCCCCTGAGAGTAGGCTTCGCCGGAATGCATCGGCGGCAATGAATCCGAGTGTGCAGCGGGCTTAAGGGGCCGCGGGGTTAAGCGGTCGGATTCCCGGTCGCTCCGGTTACGAAACCTCGCGCAATAGGTTCCCGTGACACGGCACGGGGGGGTGGTGTTCCGTGCACCGATCACGGACGATGATTCTCTAGGGTTACGGCCGCTTATTTTCGGCGTTGATCGATTCACCTTGCCGAAAATCGTTCCGTACACACGCCCACCCATCGCGACGTCCCCTTCTTCTTTCGTCGCGAACGTCACAGCCACGGCTTATCCCCTTTCCGCGATGCGCCGGAAGTTACGTTCCCGAGGCAGGCTTCGAGCTTTGTGCCCCAACTTTCCGGATACGGACCATAGGATCTAGACTTTGCCAGCTTAGCCATCGAATCGCGAAAAGCTTGAAAGATTCTCTATTTACGGGTTTTAAAGTCGAAACTCTACGAGACTCGTGGTGCAGCTTTGATGTCTCAATTTTTAAAGACCCCAAGCTCCTAAAGACCCGAACTCCAAAGTTAAGCCACAAACGATCGAGCTTAAAGATTCGAAGCTTCGTATTCTTAAGAACCAGAGCGTTAAAGATTGATCCTTCGAGCTTTCTGCATCGCTGGCTGCCAGGCAGATATATCGGAGTCGTTAGAGCAGCGAGGCGCGAAGATATCGGCGCGCTCGAGTATCGGGTGAACCATGGGACGCTGATGCGTTGCACTTTTCGCACGTTGACGCGATAAAGGTGGGTCTCTCGAAACTCTAGCGAAAACAAATATCGATTTCTGTCATCCGTGGAAATCCCCTTAATGATACCCATCGTCGTGAATGATCCAAGAGCAAACTTCCTCGCGACGATTAGAGTTTGGCGGGTCTCCCAGACCCCGGCGATGAAAGGGCTACTTCGCGATCGAGGATCGAGGAGGTTACAGGCGCCTGAATGCTCCTGAGTGCCCACCGAGTGGAGACACACTCGATGACACTTGTATCCAGGACCTTAGGGAAGCTAATCTTGAACAAGTGACGTGTATCTAGTACTTAATGCTAGTCTGATACTCTTTAAGTGGAAGGGATCAATCTTCCCCGGAAGAAATAGATTTTTAACTGATCTAGTAGTCTTGTCCCCAAAGCTCCAACGAAAAATCTGATATCGTTAAAGGCTGAAACCGTACGTGCTTCGAAAGCAGTACTCAGACCTTGCAGAGTTTATTTCGAAGGGGGACCGGTCTTCAAGAGCGCAATATGCGTTGCACTTTTCACACGCTGGCGCTTTAAGGTCTCGGATATAAGCGACCAGTCGAGAACGAGCCTCCCACGGTCGAAGAGAAACACGTTTGGCTTGGATCCACGAGGATGCCACTCCACGGACCACTCGAGTGCGCCTTGAGGAGTCCACTATTGTAGAAGAAAGTTTCTCGAGAGGGTGATTGAAATAAGAATTCGAGGAATGCGTACGTTAGAGCGCCTTTGAGCGTCCATGGGTATTGGAAACGAGACCGAGTGTTCTTCGTGTCTCCTATAAAAAGAATGGATTTTCAAAAACGAGTCTTTGCATGAGAAATCTTTTTTGTAAATATTTTCAGACGAGCAAACCTCTGCATCAGTATTCATAGAAGCAAATTGTCTCTTAATCTCCCCTTTTTTAACGAGACGTTACAGAAAAGGTCCCGAGAGTGTTTTTTCACATCTATTTAACGTCGAAGGATCGCGTGATCATGCTCGTCGCGTGACACTATCGCGAACAATACTTTGGTTTGCGTTACCAACGATCCCGCAAACGCGATTTCACGCGTTTCTGGTAATCCTCGCGAACCGTACGCGCTGACCCACTTCGATTCACGGCTATCTTGTACCACAATGTGAAATTATTATTACTGCATCGGATTATGCATCCATCGTGCGGAACGTTCGACTTCCGGCTCGAGAATTACACGAGAAACGTAGAGACGACGAATTTATTCTGACCGCTGCATATTTTACCAGAGTTAGCTCGGTGCTGGTGGCCTCAAGTAGCTGCGAACGTTCAAACCACGCCCAATGGAAGATCGTACGAAACAAAAAACAGGCAATTACTTGTTAATTAAAGCACCAGGTGGCGTATAAAAATATAATTTAGTTAATTTGGATGTTACGAGAAAAATAACAATTTTCGAGCCGACTCTCTCGAGGCTCCCTTCGTTATTCTTCGTGCAAACGCGATCATACTCAATGTACTAATTATACATGCTATTACGAGTCGAAAGTGTAGAATAAACTTTTTTCGTACGGTGCTTGGTTTTCGAGATAAATATATTTGAAAATTTCGATGCTCCTGTCTGACCAATATCGAATATTTCTACTTAGAATATTATAGAACTGCGCTATAAATGATCGAAATCGATTTTCCCGCTTTCGAAATAGCGTGGCAATAAATTTTAATCAACATCGCCGGGGCGTGAGTGCAATTAAACACGATTTGGCTGGCACGTCTGACCATTATCGACTGTTTCTACTTGTTCCCATGTAAGCACGCTTCATCAATTTTCCAGATCGATTTTCTCGTAAACGGTGCCCCGTGCAAATAAACTTTATTCTACATTTTTTACTTACTATCTCACGTAGAATCACCTTCCATCCAAAACGATTGTCATAACGATCTGTATAATGTTATATAAACAATATAAAACTCGACGAGCGAATCTTACAGAGAATTAAGTACCACGCGAGGAAGTCAAGTAAACTTCTATCTCTATCTTAATGAAATCTCAAGCTTCCTCGTGAATTTTCAGCAATTAATAATTCCGGAAAATTCTCAGACGCTTTCCACGTCATCGTGGGATCCAGAATCGTCCATTAAAATATTTTCACACCAGCACCGGGAACAGGCATAATTAGAAAATTTAACGCGATAAAAAGAAAAGCGCCATAATGTATTTTCGTGTCTCCAACGCGTTGGGAATTTTTAATTCGATCAGAGACGGTCTCAAAAATTTCTGTAACGAAATAAATGTGTGAAACCACCCTGGTGAAGGTGTAGATTGCAGGAAGGAAGGAACGCAGATTTAATCGCGGGAATTAATTATACGATGAACGAGGCTGTTAAAAACACCCGGGAACAAAGGGTAACAATTTTACCGCTCCCCTAAAGAGAGCCTAACGAACCATGCGAACGTGGGGAGAAAAAGCTTGCACGCGGTCTGTTAATAATAGTATCCGAAGGTAAAGAGTTCTGCTTACTTCTGAAAACGGAGCTTCCACAGTTTGGTAAACATTAAATTATTTACCGAGGGTATTTACGCCTGAATATTATAAAAACAACATCTCATTTTTGCTTATCTTTCGAAAGCAAATGTTTTCTCACTACGTAAAAAACCAGTGACTGATTCGACCAAGTTAAATCAAACATCTTGTACGGGATTCGCGCAAGGGTGTTTCCGGAACGAATTAATCGCGTAAGACGGGGATTTACTGTGCTTCCGTATAAACTTGAACCGTTTCAGAATTTCAATTTAAATTCCGCCACGTTCGAAAACTTGATGCCACGTAAATTAGGAAGATTGGCACCTCGCGAAGGGAACACGAAGCAGACGTTCCAGGACCACAAAATAAAACGTTCGGAAGACCGATAATGTTTTGAAAATTCTCAAAATTCAATGTGGATATTCTTAGTAGAGACTAAGTTCGTAGCCAAAGATCCGATCGAATGTTTTGGTTGGTTGTGCAAGCAGTTACACACTCCGAGCCACTAGTGTCCAGCCGAACGATCACCATAGTGTTCCATTGTGGACGACACGACCGATTGGAATCGTTGGGCAGCTTTGTGGCGAAACGGACATTGTAGAAACTGGAGCAACTTGGCTGGGAAAGGATGACCCAACGTATAACCGTGAGATTGTTCTATCGTTTGTTTAGCTGAATCGCCAACTTCGTTCGAACAGAGCAATGGAACAGTGTCGAAGTCAGAAACGTCCTCCGTAATCGTCGATAAATGAAACGGAATCTTTCACAATAGAAAAATTGTATTCTCGCGGGAAAATGGAGGGCCTGCGCTACTTGCGCCATCTACGATGACTCTTAAGTTCCAACTCTTAAGTGCCCCAATTTTACAAAATATATCGTTCAAAACAAATCAAATATTCGAAAAAATAGCGATATTTACCTCGTGTGTTAACTTCTAAACAAAATGGCGACCCAGTTGGTCGAAATATTTCTGAAATGATAGAATTTCAACGACGTTTTCGTCGCGTACGACATCGCGATAGAGTTGGGTCGATTTTAATAGACTCTAACTATAGAGCAGCTCGCCTGTTCTACCAGAGATAACGTTCCTCGCCTAGGTAGCGCATTGCTTGACTTTGTTCAAGTTTGCGCATAATTACAGCTTCGGGAGACGAAATAGAGTTTAGGCAAATTCGAGTCTCGGTTATAGCGAACACAAATTCACTTTAACGTATTAACGCTACGATTTCTATTTTCTAATTACGCTAAACAGACTCCTGACAGTAACTATGACTCGGGGAGGTGTGTTAAGCCAATTGTCTTTGTTCTTCACAGAGAATCGTGCACATCTTTCAGCTTAAAAGTATCATTGTTATTTAGGGTAGAGATCATTAGCTCCGATGCTGTGTGGATTAGGGAATCTCATCGTTGATAGAGACACTTGAAATCGACCCTCCGGGATGGACACCCAGGCTTTTCACTCGCTATCGCCTCGTGTCTCTATTTCCTGCAGGAAATGGCCGGAATTAGCCGGACATAGGATTGTAGCGAAACGTAGGGTGTTGTTTAGGAAGCTACCCACAATCGATAAAGGTCTCGAGGAAAACAGGTGTTCGGAAGAACGCCATTGCGTCCACGATAGGTACATCGTCTGACGCTCGATGGTCAAATTGTGTCACTATCGACGCTATTACAGCGTTAACAATTCTGAAATAGATTCTTGGCCTCCGAAACCAAAGACCTCTTCATTCTAAAATTTAATCGAAAACTTTAATTATGTCATTAACGTGAACGATAGTCTAGCACTGATCCTCGATGGAGGAACCCATCCTCTGCTTGCACAGAGATTTTACTGCTAGGCCCTGGCTGGATCTCGTGATCTCTCAGTGCCCCTTTCTAGCGTTTAATCTTGGGGTTAGATCTGATTAACACCCTCGCGATTTAAACGTCTCGTCATAACGAAATTTAATCGTAATCTTGGGACCTACTATCGTGATCCTGAATAATCAGGAGAATCGTCTACGCTTTCGTAGAGAAATTTATTACCACTACCACAGAGTATGATTAGAGATATCTCAAGCTCTGTGTCTCTTTTTAATCAGAAAACTACTGTCAGTCTGTGTCAGGTCTACCCAAACCACTTAATATCTCGTTCGAACGAAATTTAATCAAAATCGGGAGGTTTCTTCCTAATTAGCTTCAATCAAAGATCTCGATCAGTCCTGATAGGGTCTCTCAAGTTCATTAAGCGTCCTCCTCCCGGCAGTAGTGTTTTTTTCCAAAATAAAAACTTTGTTAACGATCAAGTTACGCGATCGTGCGATACTTTCGCGAAATTGCTGGTTGTCGAACGAACGGGGAGGGTGGTGGGAGTTCGAAAACCAATTCCGGTGGCTTATAGCCGTTGACCAGAAAATTACCTCGTGGCTGGCGCTCGAAACGACGCCGGTATTCCTTTATTGCGGCCTCGAGTCCTTGGAAAAATGTCTACGGAAGCGAGGGTGGCTGACGGGGGGAAACGAAACATCGAAGAAATAGAATTGTCTCGCCTACAGGGACCCGTATCTCTTGGTCAGCGACTAAAACGAGCCACGAATCCTCGTTCGTGCGTTTTATCAGCAGTGTCCGGCTCAAGGTTTCCCTCTCGGCGAGATCTTCGCCGCCTCCGGGCGGTTATTTAATTTGCAACCGAGTCCGACGAATTCGCCCTCGTAATTGTCAGCTCACAGGCTGTAAATTATCCTGGATTTTCGGTCCGAGCACGGGAGAAAAAACTACAATTACGCGGATTTATTAACACGGGCGAAAAAAGTGTTCGTTAGCCCGGCGGACGGAGAGGGGAATCAAACTACGAATTATCGTCGTTCGAGAGCCACTCGAGAGTTTCTTAATAATCCCCGAGTCCCGTCGAGTGATTTCGGGGTTCATTAAAATCCGAAGAAACGATATTTCCCTTTGAAGATTCCGAGAGTTCGCTCGACCGTATTGCGCGGAAGTTTCATTGTTTACAGCGTTGGGAAAAAAGATTTCTGGAAAAGGAAACACGGTGGTTGGAGAGATAATTGAATTTGCGAAGTACGGAGCAGAGAATGTCACGTGACGGCACGATTAATGGCGGGAACACGTTATTTGTCACGCGAGCGCAACGAAACCCAACCTCTACGGTGTAATCGCTTACAGGAGACACGGTATCGCGTCGTTTCACGCGATATTGCATAATCTCGGATTTTTAAATCCGTGTTCACATCCCAGACTCGCGATTTCTTTCTAAAAAGAATATGGCTGCCTGAGAATTAATTATTCTTAACTAAAACTTGATTCTTCTCTTTTCGAATCGATCGATCGATCGATGGATGGCTGACGTTGGCTTCCAGCTACGTATTTCCACCCCGAAACCGCGTCAAAGGCCAATCACCGTCGACGCCACGAATTTAAACTCGATTTGCGTGAAACGAAGGACGGCCGCCTCTTGCCGCTCTAACGCGACATTTCATTATCAAGATCGTCGCGTCCCCATCGATTACGCAAGCTATTAACGCCCGTGATTTAGCGGTTTATTAAAGGACGGGACGGTTCTCGCTTCGCCGACGGCGCGGAAAACCGATTTCTCTCTCCCGTGAAAATTACGCGACGCCTCGCTAACGACGCGTCTCGTTAGGAAACGGAGACGGCTGGGGGATCGATATTTAATAACAATAATTATAACTGCCGTCCGTAGTCCTGGCAAACTTTATTACACCGTTTTCGACTCGAGAGCTTTGGTCCTGTTCGTTACCACGAGTTATCTCGGGCTCTAATGGCCAAACTTTGCCAGTACATTCTACAGAGCTAAATCTTCGGGTGGAAAACATTCTAACGAAGTGTTACTTGGTCCTAATCTCGGAATTTAACGATGAAAATTACCTGTTTCAGCGTCCCGTCTTCTTAGACAGAAGATACCATGCACCGGCCACTTGATGACCCCCCGCCGCCTTTGGATACAAAAGGTACCAACTCAGGTGTGTAGAAACAACATAATCAATCATTTCCCCAACCAACTGTGCAAGCTCGTTGACATAGAAACCATCAAAATTAAAATTACGAGAGTTTATAAACGTTTCTTCGTCGACTGCATATTATACATCGAGAAAAACGGGTCTTCTGCTATGTTCATCTCACTAGCACGTAGTACTACGTTTTTCGTTCAAATACTGCTTTCACCTATGCTACTAAGCTTCCCTGAACACGTACCACTACGTTTAGCTCTTCAGCCATCGTATCGACTCGATCGAGTGCAAGCAACCGTGTCTCTTGTTACACGTACTACTACGTGTTATTTTCAACACAAAAATAAAATAAAATTCATACCACAAGGAAAGAACAGACCTCGTGGGTTCTTTTGTAGTTAGAAAACGACAACAAATACGGATCTTTCCGGCGTATTTCGTGTTTCGTGTTTCGTGTTTCTCGATTCGACTCGAACGTCCCGCGCCAAGGACTCGTTGCACGATAAATTCGCGTTAGATTCGCAATTCTCTCGCGTGCAACGGATGTAACCGTGATTTCCACGCCCATTGTCCGTCCGTGAATTACTTTTCACGAGCCTGTGATCTCTATGGCGGCGTTGCAAAAATATGCATCGCGCAGATATTCGTAACCCCGGGGATCCTTATATGCATTTGAATGCCTCATCCGTCGTGGAATTTCCTGGCCCACCGAGATCAATACCGCGGTATGCAGGAACCATTGTACGAGGACGATGCAACGTGTACGATTATTCGCGTTATTTGTCCATCTGCTCGCGTATAATAATCGAGATTACGTTTCTTGTTTACCGGACGGCGGATCGATCTGATTGGTCATTCGTGCCGGTTAGAAACCACGCGAGTGGAACTGTTATTATTCGACGATACTGTCTGGGGGAAAAAATTATTTTAACTTCTCGTTCGCTCGTTCGATGTGGAAAGGAATGCTTGGTAAACAAGTTAACGATAGCAATCGGGTGACTGGGTATTGTTTAAATCGACGCGCTGAATAATGGATATGTTTTTCGCTAAATAACTTGGGGGAATATATCGAATAGCAGTTTATTGGACAAATTAATAATTGTCTCATTTGTAAGATATTTTCCCTTTAATATTGTAGGATTTAAAGAGAATTGTATTTGGAACAAAATTAAATGAACGAATTTGAAATACACCAAGCACACAATCTTTTTACACAAATTAAAATCACATTGATTGACGACACAAATTCAAATCACGTCCGTCTTTTCCAATCACTCGTTTCTCTCTTCTCGCTGTCCCTAATCCAGACCTAACCCAGACCTAACCCAGACCTAACTCAGACCTAACTCAGATCTAACTCAGATCTAACTCAGATCTAACTCAGACCTAACCCAGACCTAACCCAGACCTAACCCATATGTTAATTCAATGGTTAGTACAGAAAGCTGGCTCGAACGTAACTAACTAAATTATTATTAACAAACGATCAACTAATAAAATGAACAACTTCTAAATGTAACCGCAGTCATTCATTACAAACCTAAAGGTTGCTTACACATTATTCTAGAATACAATTGCAAATTTATGGTAGAACGCGAGTCTAACGCAAGTAGAACAAGCGATTAATGGTCAGACTCGACCAAATTGTGCTCGATGATCAAACGTTCCATCTTCTTCGATCATCAAGGGCTTAATTAAATTTCGATTTATTTGTTTCGTGGCCCAGGAAGAAACGCGAGGCTCCCTGCACGTGGAATTTGTTTCTTTTGGGTAAACTTTCATGCGTGGCGTATAAAGTGCAGCGCGAGGATCATCCAGGGATATTGTACGACCCGGTGCGTTTCACGGCGGACTAGAAAAGTGTCGCAATAATGTGCAATATCGAAGGAACAGAGTATAAAAGTACGAGGTGATATAAGACCCATGAAAAGGACGAGCTGCGAAAGTTAGAGGGAAATGGGAATGTATGGCGGAATGAAAGAGGGAAAACAAAGGAACGAGGGATGGTGTAAGAGCACGCGGGGGAGATATGGGACCGTATAAAAGGATGGAAATGCGGAAATACAATAACACGCGGAATCCCGGCGAATAAAAATGCGCGAAACGATGGAAAACACGAAACGATTAAAGTGGAAAATTGGACGGGAATCGCGTTGCGTTTTAAAAAAACATTAGACGGAAATAATAGCGATACGATATGGTTACGAATTTTTATAGGAGCTTCTATCGGGAAAATATTTTATTCGCGTTCTGGTCTAAACGGTGATTTCTGTCCGGTACACGGTTTTCGTTTTTACGGTACGGTTTCCTGCTGGTTCCTCGCGTTAACGAAGGCTCGAAGCACCTGACACGGTCCTTTGTCTTTAGATTTTCATTACACGGCTTGACATGTAACGCGTTCTCAAATAAAGACAAGAACGAACGAGGAAATTAATGTATAGAAGCGGGGAGAGTGCCTGGAGCGATGCAACGTTGTTTCAACTTGACGAACAGTAACCGAGAATAGGAGAAATTTAATATTTTTACCCATCCACGAGCGGAATTGCGTTGAATCAAGCGAGTAAATAAAAAGCAGAGATCGATGGAGACGCATTGAACTTGAATTCCGCGTGCGAGGGTCCCGCGGAATGGTTGATCGAATCGAATGGAAAATTTATGCCGCCGGATCGATGGTACGACGCCACTCGCGTAACAATAAGGCACGCAGAAAGAACGCAATAGTGGAAACGGCTGTCCTCGACGAAGAACGGCTTCGTCCAATTAATTTCGTTCGAAATCATCGAGGCGGCGCTAATTAAAGGACACAGTCGGACGGACGACAATGGCGGGCAAGATAGAATCGAGCGGAAACGCGATTACCGGAAATGCTCTTTATCAGGCCCTGTGGCGGTCTACGCTTTTTCACCACGGGCAACCGATTTGTTTCTATTATTAAAGTACCCACTTGCTATCGATTTTACGCCCGTGGGCATAAATTATGCATCGCGCGGCGCGTACAATGATTGGCTCTCGCGATCGGAGTTGAAACGCGAAGCCCGGGAAAACGGGTCGGGATAACGATGATACACATCGAACGCACGTGATCGATCCCTATCGCGGCGAGCGTTATTTTTAGGGCCGTGAAATTCAGCGATCGTTACGGTGGCTAGTAAAATTCGTTTACTTTCTCTGGGAACGATTCAACGACGTTGTTCTCGAACGAACCTTTTTTAATTGAACCGTGGATCGAAGACGGTCTCGAAACACATTTAGAAGTCTTCGTTATTGTTCCCCCGGGAGTGGGTCGTGCATCCTTAACGGGTGAAACTACGGTCGAGTAAACTACTATACATACTTAATATCTCCGTAGCTCGTTATTTCCAAAGGATAATATTCGACGCGATATCTGCTTCGACGAATTCGTTGGTAATAATTTTAGATAATTTGTGCCACCGAATATGATCGTTTCAATGCTCGATTTTAATTGTTACTGTTAATGGTTCGCGATCGATCGGTCCGGAAGTTCGCTAAGGAAAAAATGACTCTTGATGTCTAACGGCGCTGTTGAATGTATAACGACTCGATGTATATAATGCATCGAGTGCACTTTTGTCACGTGGACTGAGATCAAACATCGAGATATCCTGCTTGTCAAGCGTATACTGCCTGAATAGATGTAACATGACTTGTGAAAACGGCGCGGTTATTACTTGTTGCTCCATAACACTTAAAACAAATTTCTAAAAGAAATCGACAGAGTGTGGATGCAGAAATTTTTCGACAAAATTAAAAAATTTCAAATCATTCTAAAAAAATTATTTTTGTTTGCAGGTGTCAATTATAATCATTTTTGGTCGATAGACATACCCACGAAATCCTACGCAGTTTCGAGAAAAAAATTCGAGTAGGTCAGAAATTTTTCGGCGCAATTAAAGAATTTCAAATCATTCTAAAAAAATTATTTTTGTTTGCAGGGGTCAATTATAATCATTTTTGGTCAATAGACATACCCACGAAATCCTACGCAGTTTCGAGAAAAAAATTCGAGTAGGTCAGAAATTTTTTGACGAAATTAAAAAATTTCAAATCGTTCTAAAAAAATTATTTTCAGCTGCGGGGATCAATTAGCTTCATTTTTGGTCAATAGACATACCCTTGAAATCTTACTGATTTTCGAGAAAAAAATTCGAGTAGGTCAGAAATTTTTCGGCGAAATTAAAAAATTTCAAATCATTCTGAAAAAATTATTTTCGGTTGTGGGGATCAATTACCGTAATTTTTTATCATTACACATATCCCCGAAATCTTACGCATTTTCGAGAAACAAATTCGAGAAGGTGTGAAACTTTTCGGCGAAAAAAAATTTGTTCAAATCGTTCTGAAAAAATTATTTTTGTTTGCAGGGGTCAGTTACAATCATTTTTGGTCGTTACACGTACCCTCGAATTCCCACGCAGTTTTGAGGAAAAAATTATTTACTGAAAACATAATGTCTGACCACATATGATACTGTTCCCCTGAAATTTCATTATACTACGTTTTCTCGTAATCAACTTTTCCTTGTACCCTTTAATTATCGAGCCTCCGCTCGACCTTTTCACTGGACTCTCGTCGCAAAATCATCCAAACATTTATTTAGCTTGCACGCACGCAACGTTGAACTTTAAGCCTCGTCGTTCACGATTACGCATTCTGATGTTAAACTGAAAACCAAAGGGACGCAACAGGTGCCGGGGCTCCGTGCAAACGACATCTTTTGGCATTAACACACGATTCATCCGGTCTTTGTTCCGACATTTGCCGTCCCGACATTTGCTTTCGCGGTGCAGTCAATAATTTCATTATAACGTGACCTTTTAAAACCTGTTATTTTTATGCCAATAGACACATTCGCGAGCAATAGACATCTTCGTCAATACATACTCTGTCTTTACTTGCAATCTGAAGTGTAATTAACGATAGAAGTCGACGTTTTTATATTTTCAGACTCCATTTGTAAATTTATACATTTACTTTGAATTAAAATTAAACAAACTGGTCTTCTTACGAAATGAAGCTGATTAAAACGTCTGACCCAACACGGTCAGAAACTCCTGTCAGGATTAATTTTTCTTCCTGCGGTTACTATACCAAGAATTTTACCTAATACGTACACACATGCATCAAAAATATATATAACTGCATTTTTACAAAATTCGTGTAACTGGAGAACTCGTGGAAAGCATTCTGAATGCGTGTTGCGTTGCTGTTCTCGCAAGAACCAGATGTACACGGCGTTTCCTTAATCCTGGATGCAGTTTAGGTGAATTTCGTCGGCGCTATTAGGTCAGGCATGCCATCAGGATATCGTTGCACGTGGATTGGCAATACCAAGCAATCTACTGTTCTTTGGAAGTCGGCCAGGCCAAACGACATCACCTTCTCGTGCCAGAATTCGTCGGTTCCAGGTGTCCAGCCTACGGCTACCAGAGAAACGACTTTACCTTATCGGGCAACGACTGCGAAATAACAGTTGCAATTTACAACTTTGCGCGTACACTCGTTTTTCCAACTAATTTCATTCACGAAGAACAAAGGTACAACAATTGGTGCAGAGACAAATGGGACTGGGAGAATTTTCTGAAGGAGAGCCTCTCGGTCTGAGGATATTTTAATAATTATCATGTTAATTTGTTTCAGGAATGCGACGTCGTGGTGATGTTCCCAAGTGGAGCGAGCGACGAGACTCTGATGTGGCTCCTAGGTCGTCTACGGGCTGGGACCCCGGGCCTAGTGGTACACGTGCGGCACCATGCCTCATCAGATAGTTACGGGTTTTACTTAACAGCCCCCTTTAGCGTGTAAGTACAACATTTTTTACCTTGGAAGTACAGAATCCCAGTTAAACTCCTCCGCCAACTAGGAGTCGATCGTATCGCACTTTCGATGTTTCTGTGGCGTCACCTCTCGTGCTCGCCGCTAGAGGGCTACATTCCCAACTCTTTCTCGCAAGTGCTCGATCCCTCCGTTCCTATATTTACAATTTTCGACTTCCTCGAGAGGCTCTGAGGAGAACACGACCATTTATCGACAGATTGTTAAAAGCCGCCGAAGAGGTACATTTGCCAAAGACGTTGCGCCAGGAGTTCGGCGGCGGTTTGAAAGAGTTCGTAGGTTCCGAGGCGAGCTGCTTCGAGGGTCACGACGACGAGGCTCAATTCTTCACCACACAGGAGAGGCAATCCCTGGTCCTGCACCTGCTGCACACCCTCAGAGCGGGGCCACAGGATCTGCACAGTCTGGCGGGTCTGAAAATGGTGGAAGGACAAGCAATTATTCCAAAGTGCATTTCTTCTGGGATCATTTCCCAGGTTGGTGGCAAACGGGGATCGCTATAAGTAGAAACGGCGCGACGAACTTTCAGACACCATTATCTCGAGAACAAAGCGCTGCGAGGAAAAACTTTATCCTAAGCTTTCGAGTTACTTTATCGCGAATTGTACTGCAAAGCAGTTCGAAACAGTCATTGCCGGAACCTTTTCTATCCCTGAGGTTAACGTCTACGATCTCGAAGCTTGAAAGACTTTCGGTGTTTCGTTAATCGACGAATATAACTTTAAATCGTCCCCAAAGGTCTTCCCTCTTCACGAATTGCCTGCGTTGGAGAAGCTGCAACACACGTGGGTCCGCGCGTTTCTCAGCCCCCAACCGTTGGACGACATTTGTAAATACTTCGGGGTAAAGATTACCATGTACTTCGCGTGGCTCGGACATTACACCACCGCCCTGATCGTTCCAGCTGCAGTGGGTGCCATATATTGGGTAACAAACACAATTTTTCATAAGTAGACTGATCTTCATGCAAATTCATATTTTTATTAATAAAATTGGAGCTTTGTAGTCTCAACCCCTAGATATAATAATTCGTACCTTATTTTAAGTATTTCTTATATTCTTGCATGTTAACTAAATTCTGTAGTTTTTTGAAAATTAAAAATTCTTGACTTCCCTCGTCTCTTAATATAGCGCTTAGAGCAAACACGTTCCGTGTGTGTAGAGACACTCGAGTTTTGGAAACCCCGTGAGATAAGGATTACGTCGATGGCCATCTGGTCGATGTTTGCCAAAAGCTCTCCCCCGAAAAGCCTGATCCCCCGATATTGGAAACGCGAAAAAAATCCCCGTACTGACAACACTTCGTATCGGGTGTTTCAGATCGGCATCATCGGTAGGAATCAAGCGGTGGAAGACGTGGCGTACGTTCTGTTCTCCGTCTTCAACGTAATCTGGGCCACCGTTTATCTGGAGACCTGGAAAAGAAGAGGCGCCGAACTGGCCTACAGGTGGGGCACCCTGGATCAAAGAGACGACCTACTTATCGAGCCTAGGCCCTTGTTCACGGTAAGCCTGCGATCAATTCGTTTACGTCGTTGCGTTTAGACGATCTACTGCACGTCCATTTTGTATCCTTGAAAACTTACTTATCTGTCTCTGTACTCCGGTAGCGCTATAATTACTATTTTCGAATTAAAAAGTTGCTCCAACGTCAGGAGTGGACCCAGACGGCTTGCTTACGGGGGGGACAATGTGTGGAAGTATGTTTATTTCACTTTTTACTCGAACAAAATCGTTTTTCTTTTTGGAACATTCATTTTTTAAAAAATTAATTTAATTGGAACACAGTTTGTGGAGCGACGCTTTAGATCCATAGGAGGGGGAGAGGGAATGGCGTCTAACGATCCCAGTAGGTCACGGGGGAAAAAAATATTTTAACGTTCGAAGTATATTTTTCTTCACTTGTCATAGAGTTTCCTTTTTTTTAGCGTTCATTAATCACTTTTTCGAATGCTTGTGAGCGTTAATTGATCGGGATCGCGGTTCTATTTCTCCCAGGGCACCCTGGAAATCTCATCCGTAACGGGGAGACTGGAGCCAACGTACCCCAGGTGGAAGAGAAACATGTTTCGTTACTTCGTGACCGTTCCCATCATCGCAGCGTGCTTGTTCTTCGTTTTCATCGTGATGATCCTGAGCTTCCAAATACAGGTCAGACGTGTTTCTGCGCTTATACATACAAAACGATTCGTTCGTTCGAACCAGTCACTTCCAGTGATAACGTAATAATAATACTTATTGTTGAATATTCGATTCGTTCGAGGAACACGCGGGAAGGAAAAGAAACGATTCGACCGAATCCCCAGTTTGGCAGCGTGCCTGGAAAATCTCCTTCCGGAGGCATGTTGCACGAGGAAAAATGACGGAGACGATTTAGTTTCTACGTCGAATCTCGCGCAAAAAGGCGTCGATTTGTATTTTTTTTTTTTTTTTGGCAGTCGGAGCCAGCGGAATACAGGCCAATCAGCCCCTCCATCGATTTATCATTACGCCCTCGAACTTGCATCGAGTTTCGTTCCCGCGTAAAGTTCCGCTCCGCTGTAAAATCATATATTGCTCTCGCATTTCGCGATACGATTGTTTTTTTCCACGTTTTATCAGCAACACACGGCACCATGATTTTTAACGAGCAGCAACGAAGCTCTTGCCAACGCAATATACTTTTTATTTTTATCATTAATACGAAGTTTCTAGTTTATAAATACACACGTCGAATTTTTTTATTTTCGATGACACGTAGTGCTACGTTTTGCTCTTCAGACATCGTGTTGACCAGATCGAGTGCAAGGAACCGTATCTCCCGTTGTTTGCAACATTCAGGTCTTTTCTTTTTCTAATACGTAGTACTACGTGTTAAAAGAAAAGAAATTTGAATCTTGCAAGCAACGGGAGACAGTTTCTTACGCTTGATCAAGTCCATGTGATAGCTGAAGAGCAAAACGTAGTACTACGTGTTAGTGAAATTAATCAGAAAAAGAAATTTGAATATTACAAGCAACGGGAGACAATTTCTTACTCTTGATCAAGTCAATGTGGTAGCTGAAGAGTAAAACGTAGTACTACGTGTTAGTGAAATTAATCAGAAAAAGAAATTTGAATGTTGCAAGCAACGAAAGACAGTTTCTTACGCTTGATCGAGTCAATGTGGTAGCTGAAGAGCAGAACGTAGTACTACGTGTTAGTGAAATTAATCACAAAAAGAAATTTGAATATTGCAAGCAACGAAAGACAGTTTCTCACGCTTGATCGAGTCAATATGATAGCTGAAGAGCAAAACGTAGTACTACGTATCTGTGAAATTAATCACAGAAACGTAGTAGTACGTGTTCACAGATATTTTCAACAGTTTGTTTCTCTTGTTTCGTTACCTTTGAGAACAATTTCTCGTTCGAAAAATAAAATAAAATTCGTGGGACAAAAATATTTGCAGGACTGGTGGGACGCTGGTCTGGAGTCGGGAGGGTACGGTTTCTGGCTGAGTTATATGCCAAAAATTCTACTCGCCGTGGTGATAGCTTTAATGGACGAGGCTTACTTTAAGGTCGCCGTATGGTTGAACGACATGGGTACGTATAGAGGCGCAAAATAGAAAGAGAAAGAAAAAAAATAAGAGTACATTTATTCGTTGCCACATAGTCTTTACTATCTCTCTCGACGATAATGGCCCCCGTGAGGCTATCTGATAGCGAACCGAACATTTTAACGATATTTCCTCGCATCGACATTGTTGTACATCACCGAGACACTGTGCACGTATAGTTTTTCGAGTGCCTAGCATATACTATTTCCGAATCTTTTCACGGCTTAGCTTCTTCTAGAGAGTAACTCAGAACTTACGTCCCTGATGAACATACCGTAACCGAACAGATCTTAACAGGCGAATGTTTTGTGTTCTCTTTTTGACATACATATATATATATATAAGATTATATACGATCGAGAGATAATCTAGATCTTCTTTACCTGTCTCTTATCACTACTACTTCCACTTTCACCTTTTTTTTTTTTTGTCTATCTCTGTCGTATGTTTTACTTCATTTTTTTTTTTTTTACATATTGGAGAACGGTCATGTTACAGTAGATAGTATTTGAGATTTTTGTGTGTTGGACGCAGAAAACTATCGGCTAGACACCGAGTACGAGAATCATCTGATCTACAAGGTGGCACTGGTAATAAGAAGAAACACTCCATTTACCACGAAATAGATTGTGTGTGATCGTGTGTGCGCGCGCGCGCGCTGTGTTAGACGTACTCTTTAACGCGTCCGCCTCTAAACGAATCGACAAAATTTAGGTTGAAAATACTAATGATCAAGATTAGAATATTTAAAAGATATCGTCGATTTAGAGGTGGACCATTAAACGTGATATAAAATTAGAACTACGGATGCTTCTACGTTTTCGATTATAATATGAAAGTGTCTGCTCTGGCTGTCTCTGTCGCTGCACGAAAAATTCTATTCTCTTCGTGAGTACCTTCTGCTTGCGCTTGTCGATACCTCGTCGCGGAACAGTCCGTGTTCCTTTCTCGCTTTCGGTTGCATCTCGTACGCGTAGCGTGTATGTGTGCCGTTCGACCAACAGACAGATAGAAATTATACAGAGGAGACTATGTATTTCAGTTTCAGTTTGTAAACTCCTTCCTATCGCTATTTTACATCGCCTTCTACCTACAAGATCAAGAGAGACTAAAAGAGGTAAGTGGACCCGTTTGGTTCCCGTTTCTCCCCCTTCTCCAACTAGCTACTAGACCGATAGACCTTCGTACATTTTGTATTCTCGATATATCTGTCTCCTACTCTCTATGGTAGCTAGCTCTATGATTAGTATTCTCGTGTGCAAAAGTTGCTCGGTCGTCTACGCAGCGGTTACAAGCGAGGTTAGATTCAACAGTGGAATATTAACACAAATTAGTCGTATCTTGCTGAATACTTCTTTCAAGTTCTCTCGTTAAAAAACTAAAATTGTCTTGTAACACGAGGAGGAACAGGTTGATCGATATGGCGTCCACGAAAGACCAGATAAAGGGTTAACGTATCGTTTCAGCAACTAGCCGCCCTGCTGATCGCCCGTCAGGTGATCGACAACCTAAAGGAGTCCGCTGTGCCGTATTTGATCAAGCAGTTGCATTTGGCGCGGTTGAGCTTCAAGCTCTTCGGCGCCCTGAGCCCTAGCGAGGCCAGGCCGCCACCTGGCGAGGAGAACGACGAGAACCGGAAGGAAACGGACGAGAAGGGCGAACGAACGGACCCGGGGAAGGGCAAGCAGCCGAGGAACGTCAGCCAGGCTGAGCTGGAGAGTTCCCTCTACAGAGTAGGGCATCCCACTAATTCTCTACTTAGTGACGTTACGTTCAAGGTTTGGTCTAGATTTAGCTAATTTCTTTCGTTTTCGATGCACTTTGCGATCAAGCGCCGAAGCATCAGCGTTTACGATCCCCAAACGAGCTTCGACAAAAGAATATTACACTCTGCAAATGTTAAAACAGTTAAGGTCTATCCTAGCTCGAGCTTGTTAGTTAAAAATATTGCAAATATCGAATGGAATATGTTTGTTTATCGATCGTCAACGCTGTCAGGTTCTCAACATCATCATCGAATATCTTCCTTCTTCTCGTGTTCCTCCTTTGGCTTGTGTGAACCTTATTTCCTACCCACGCTATACACGTGAGGAGCCACGTCTCCGTACGTGGACGAGGCAGCTAATTAATGTTGTCCTGTGTTGTCTGATCGGTTCTTTTTGCAGAGTTTTAATCATTTTTATTCCCGTTTTCCACCGATTCCGTCGACGATGCGCAGATATCGACCAAAAAGGTAACGTCACCGCTCACCCTATCATTAAACACTTGACCCTTTCAATTGATTACCGTGAACCAGGGTCCCTGAGAGGGATTCTTGCAAGGGGCACATTACTGCTTTATGTCATAAACGTTTGATCCTTCTCAGGGGCCCTGCTATGGAGGTCTAAATTAAGTACCACTTAGTTTAACGATGCAACGATCATGACAAATATTCTCTGTTCGGTGTGTTGATTGTCCGCTTGAGGGAGATGAGCTACTGTCTCGCTTCTTGCGCGATCCTGCGTTAGGGATACCTGCCATAGATCGAACGAACCTCCCTACTTGATCGCCAAGAAGAGAAGCAGTTATCGTTGATCGTTAAACTACGCGAACTATGCGAAACAACGCGAGATAATAACTGAAAGGGTTGAATCCAAGTCACCGGCTTCTCACGCTAACTCCACGTCGAGCGCTAGCTTCTTATTTTCCGTTTTAAGAGCATAGTGACCCCTTACACCACCCACGCTAGATACACGTGATAGAAGATGTTCCGCTGACTATCCCTGACAATGTTTAACGTACGATTGAGTTCCGTTGCAGTTTTATCGTTTGACCATCGTCCACGATGTCCACTATAGTTTATGCAAATTTCTGAACGTGACGAACCTGCAACGAGATCGCAATAAGTACTAAAGTTCAACGAATATGATATATATTGTTCTTCTATTTGATGGAAAACCTGTTGACGGCAATATCAAGTGTTTCGCGAGAACTTGTATGCAAATCTTTCTATTTTTGTAGTACGACGGGGCGTTTTCAGAGCATCTGGAAATGCTATCGCAACTGGGATACGTCTGCCTGTTCTCATCGGCGTTCCCATTGGCCGCCATGGCCGCGCTGCTCGGGAACCTCCTCGAGCTTCGCGGGGACGCTTTCAAGCTCTGCTTCGTCCTCCAGCGGCCATTCGGTCGCAGGGTCTCGAACATCGGGACTTGGCAGGTAAGTCTAACTAGCAAATTAACCCTAATGGATACAAGTCTGTGATTCGATTCAATTTACCAGAACGCTATGGAAGCGATGGGACTGGTCGCGATCCTGGTGAATTGTGCCCTGATCGGGCTGAGCGGCCAGGTGCAGAGAATGTTCCCCGAGATGTCCGCCACGCAGACGATTCTCCTGATAGTCGCCCTGGAGCACATCATGTTCGCGATCAGGTTCATCATAATATGCGCGATCCCAGACATCCCGCACTGGGTGGCCACCGAAATGGCCAAGGTGGAATTCTTGAGGAGGGAGGCGGTCAGACGACTGTCCTCCACTCCGTCGCCGGAGCAACAACCAGCCACAGTGATAGGTAAGTAACGCACGATAACGACAATGCAACCTACTTCTTGTTCTTGTGGTTCAAGATAGTCTCTGCCCGAAAAGAGGCGGTTTTTTCTATTAGTTAGACACAGAGTAGCTTGAAAGAGACCTCCAGGCTAGTGAATTCCTCCAGTTCGTTGAACTCTTTGCACACCCTTCTCGAATGTCTGAGTTTGAGATGCTGGATCTACTTAGTATCTTGAACTTCTTGAATTTGTGGGGTCCATCACTCTGCTAGGAGACCCTCACCCCCAAATTGATCACGTCGGGGCCCCTGTAGGCGGTCATCACATCCACAAGGACCCCGACGTGATTAATTTGGGGGTCCTATGGATGAGATGACAAGAAAAGAATAATTAAGGTATCCTAGCAGAGCGCTTGCGAGAGGAACGGGCCCTCTGGCGGCGAGAACGAGAAACGATGGACCCCTTGAGTTCCCTTAAACTCTTGTAAAGCTATCCAACGCAGATTGAATCCAAAAATAGTAAAACGCATGCAATCGACGACATCATCGGTCCCCTCGATGGGTCACACACTCGCCCAACTATATCGTCCTTGCTCCTACCATCTATTAATTTCGCTCGAACTCAGGGAGATTCGTGGTGAGTCCAGCAGACGGTGAAAGCGAAGAGCAACAACTGCTCTCCGATCGTTCCGGTGAGACGACGTCGCCCAGCCTCCCGGACACGCCGACCCTGTCGAGCACCCAGACGCCGAACGGACCGCCGACGCCCAGCGTCACGCCCGTGCCAAGAATATCGGAAACGCCGTCCGCGGCCCAGACGCCTGGCAGTGCGTCCAGCAGCGACATAGGTACTCCTTTCCTGACTGAAAATAACATGGGCAGCATTCGCGACCTTCACAATTCACCCAGATGCTCCATTCCTGGCGGAGAACGAGGTTCGACAATAGGAACGATGGTTCCTTTCCTTTCTTTTCGCCTGAAATCTTGCGTAAAGTCAATGAACAATTGCTACCAGATTCCTCAGAAATTACAAGCAACTGGTACAGTTTCTCCTTTGTGTTCTTGGTCCTTGAACAGGTTGTTAGATCGTTAAGAAAGCCTTGCAATATCTGCAACTTTGCTTGAACTCTAAACCAGGAATAGATGACTGATCAAAACTGTTGTAAATATTGCAAGGCTCTTGGCAACCGAGTACGATTACAAATTGCAGATGTAGTTTAGAAGTTCAGGGCACTAGGGAACTGTAAAAGAAACGATTTTCTTCTTGTCACGCAGGAAGACGATCCAGAGAGTGGTTGACGAGCGAACCGGAGGCGTCTGGCGGTGCAGATCATTACAGTCATCATCTGACGATCGGGCCTCACGGAGGCGTGGACTGGGTCCGACGGTTGGGCCTGGAGTCCGGGGGTCGAAAGTCCAGCGACTCGGAGATCAGCGGAGCTGGTAGCGTCGTCGGAAGCGGAGACGAAGCGATTCATCTTCACCGATCCACCGATTGCATCGTCTCGAAAGATCTTGCTTCCTCGTCGGACAGCGACCTCCTCAGGTGCGCGACCATTCCTTCATTCTCTGTCTCAAACGTAATTGGCGGCATTAAGGCATTCTTTGGACCCAACACCCATAATCATTCATGTATTTTTAAACATCACTCTTCATTATATTCTCTCAGGAAACGATCTACAATAACTTCTCAATGGCTTATTAGGAAGCTACTGCTTCTTCATGCTGATACTGAGGGTGCATAATAGCATCATAAAACTTAATTAGCAGTCCACTAGTGTTAAAATCTGTTTCGTGTAATTGAGGATGGTTTGTTAACTGCAATTTTTAAACATCACTCTTCATTATATTCTTTCAGGAAACGATCGACAATAACTTCACTATGGCTTATTAGTAGACTGCGGATCTTCATGCAAATTCATATTTTTATTAATAAAATTAATGAAATTGGAGCTTTGTAGAGAGTTGTCTCAACCCCTAGATATAATAATTCGTACCTTACGATTTTAATTAATTAAAATTCCCCATAAATGCATAAACATCCGCAGTCTACTTATTAGGAAGCTACTGCTTCTTCATGCTGATACCGAGGATGCACAATAGCTTCATAAAACTTAATTAGCAGTCCACTAGTGTTAAAATCTGTTTCGTGTAACTAAGGAGGGTTTGTTAACTGCAATTTTTGAACATCCTCCATTATATTCTCACAGGAAACAGTCTACAATAACTTCACAATGGCTTATTACATAAAACTTAATTAGCAGACCAGTAGTGTTAAAATCTGTTTGATGCAACCAAGGAGGGTTTGTTAACTGCATTCGTGCGTTGATTTGTCTGTTAAAGATCGGCCCCGCCGTGGACGATGGCGCACAGGAACCAAAAGTTCCGGTTCTCGCCGGAGAGGGAAAGAGAGCGGGAGAAAACGGAGAAACAACAGTATCAGCACCATCAACGAGAGATCTACGATCACAGACAGCAGCAGCTGGCCTATCACGCGGAGAAGGAGAGGGAATCGGGTCTGTCGGACTCGAGCAAAACTATTTCCAGCCAAGAGGAGGAGAAACCGAACAAGGAGGATCGCGAGGCGAAGAAGACAAGGGTGAAACAGAGCCTGATGAAGAGGGCGAGGACCGTGGCGATCTTCTCGTTGAAGCTGAAGGAACGCAGAGCGAGGGAGATGGCTCTGAAGGCGAAAGAGGCGGAGAAGGAAGCCAGGTGGCAGCAACCGCAGTCGTGCGTCGGTGGGGAGCTGTCGTGCATCCCCATAGAGAAGCTTATATCCGTGGACGACATCGCAGCCATGGAACTACGCAGACTTAATCATTAGCCGCTTGACGTTTTCACAATTTCGTTTCACACGCTACGTAGAAACATTCGTCTACGCCGGTGATACTCGCTACGAAACGAATGTCGTCTTTCGGATCATTGCTCGACAACGCGGCAAACAAAATCGACGACAGATTTAGGGAAAGAACGAGCGGGGGTGGTCGCCCCCCTCCCGTCTATCGGTTCGTTTATTATTTCGCGCGATAAGACGAAGTAACGCATTAGGGATTACTTCTTTTATTACATTTTTTAACGAGAACTTTTTTTTAAGATATTCCCGTGTCTGTTTTTTCACTCCCCCTGACCCCTTCCCCCCCCCCCCTCGCGTACCGAAGGTATTCACGAATCCGTCTTCGAACGAGAAAATTTCTATATCAATTGGAATTTGTAATATCAACGTTTGATAAGAAAAAAAGAAGAAATTGCTCAATTCTCGAAATAATGTAACCACGATAGCGTAACGCCGCGAAGGCAACGTTAATTGATTTTTACACGGAAGTCCTGTTCGCATGGTATCACGCTGAGAGAGACGCAATGGGAATCGGACGCTTGAATTCACGAAGTTCGTTTCGAATCATTCGACAAGATTTCGAGTGAGTATCATTCGCGTACGCGAAACGCGCGCACCGGAAGGCTCACGAGAACCATGAAACCAAAAAAAAAAAAAAAAAAAATATATAAAACGCTGATCGGACTAGACGAGAGGCCTAGAAATGGTCTCCCGGCGGGGATGCGACCTGGCGATAGAAAAAATCGACGAACAGGAACAAAGAAACGGCGCACAAAAAATAAAATCGAGTCATTAAAAGTTTTAGACGACGTTCTATAGGAAACCAGTTTAGAGTATCATCCTTTAAGGTCACGAATTTTTAGTAGATTAGTCGATACCTCGGCATCGTAGACTGTAAAGTCCAAAGAGGATTCGTGCCGTCGTTACCGCACGGCCGATTGTTTTCGAACATTAAAAGAACGCAGAAGAAGAAATAAAAAATAACCACGGCTTTGTACGACGTTTTAACCGCATTGGCTGTTTCGAATTCGACAAACTACGCACATTTTTTTCGTTTTATTGTTTTCTTAACCGTGTAACAGATTCCGAACGGCGATTCGATCGCGTATTTTTCTTATTGAATTTTACTGTTCATTGTAAATTTCGAAATTCCGGGGGACACGTTACTGTTTCTCATCTACGAAACGTTTCCAATGGTGATAAAAAAGCAAAGACACACAAAATTAACGATTAACCGCTGGCATGTTAAAAGAAAGAGTGACAAATGGAAGAAAGGATCGGAATAGACAACGCGCTACCATATCGAGACCGTTTAAAGAGCGCGACACTGTTACGACGATTTGTAATGTATAGTGAACGCTGCCCGTAATGGGAGCCGCTCAGAATACCGAAAACGAGACAAAGAAAGGGACGATAACCGATCCCGTTGTTGTTGCTGAAGTATAAGTTGTTACTTAATGTTACCTAGATGTTTATGGGTTAACGAACTTTTACTAAATAGATCTCTACGAATGTAACGTACAGATGCACGCAAGCAATTCACACGCGCCTACGGATCCACGAGTTTGTTAACTGCAATTATTTCGTTCAACGAAGCGCACCGTACCACCGACAAAAGTAATATTTTTTTTGTTTTCTTTTGGTTTGATTGCCGCTCGATCGAGGGTGAAGGAAAATAAAAGAAATTAAGGGAAAATCGTAAACTCTAGGGGTGAAGAAGAGTGTCAGCTCGATTGACAAGCGACGAAATTTTAACGACCGTTTTTGTATATAGCAAATCGTACACGAGTCACGCGATTAGGTATTGTTTCGTTCCATGGCCTAGCTGACGTTCATCGTCCGCTGCTAAAGTAGCGCAGTCGTTCGCTCGATGCACATTCTTACGTTACGACTTTTCAACGACCACCAAAATCTAGCCAAATAGTGTTATGATTAGACGCCGCGACGAACATTCGAGCACCGCTGAAGCAAAAACCAGTAATCGTACTTTAGCCGTGCCCTTTGGGAACCGCAAGACTAGAAAACCGCGAAGTCGATAGTTTAGACGCTTTTCGTGAGGCGAAGTTTTAAAGTGTCAGCGGAACGCATCTATGTTTGTTAGATGTTTTGTATAAAACAGGAACTGAGCCAATAAAAACATTCTACGAAGACAAACGCATTACGATCATTTCGTCCGGTATGTCGATTAACAACAATACGTAGTACCTCGTATGTGGTAGTACCCTGATATTTTTTTAGAAATTTTTAGACGAAAAAGAAAATTTCAAATCGTTCTGGAAAAATTCTTTTTGATTGAGAGGAAGGGGGGGTCAATTACAATCATTTATTATGAATAGACATACCCCCGAAATCCTACGCATTTTCGAGAAAAAAATTCGAGTGTGTGTAAAAATTTTTCAGCAAATTACTTTATTAAAAGGTTATATAGGTTATTATAGTTAGTAAATAAAGGTTATTATTATTAAAAGGTTACATTGAATTTGCGGTGATGTATGATAGAAGTCTTCTATATTCATTGCTTAACTAATAGCGACGGGTATACGTCATAGGTACGCAGAAAGCAGTTTAAAATTGTCATATGAAAAACGAATATACATATTACACGTGTAAATATAACAAGCATCTTTTTATAAAGATTTACGTAGCTATACATTACTGTGCGCAAGTGAAGGAGCAGTTTCATTTGCGCATCGATCAGCAATACAGAGATGCCAGACGGAGCCCCGGGTGTACCGTGGACACCTCATTCTACTTTCTCACACTATGCCGGATCACGCGTACGTGAGCTCGTGGAGTTTCGGTAAGTCGACAAAGGCAAACTGACGCATGCCCTCTCTCTCGATTCTCCGAGGCTGCCCGAAGTAATTTCGGGCCGTCTCGTGGGAGTCGAGAGAGGAAGGCTCGCATTTGCCTTCCCGCTCTTGAACAACTAACATCCGATCCTCGCATCAACGGCATACGATTTGGAATCTCGACTTCCCTGGCATTTTTACTTTCCGACCTATGTAGGCGCACTTAACCAAAGTACCATAATGAAAAATATATTTTCTTTCATGTCTTTCCTGGCTTCTGCTGGCCTCTGCTGACCACCGCTTATGTTTCTGACAACGTGCAACGATTACTACTTGCCCCTGCTGGTCTCTGCTTGCCACTGCTTGCCTCTGCATCCCTCTGCTGGCCTTTGCTGGCCCCTACTGGTCTCCACTGGTCTCCACTGGCCTCTGCTGACCACTGCTGACCACCCTTCATGCTTCTGACAACGTATAATGATTACTACGTGTTACTGTTTGCCCCTGCTGGTCTCTGCATGGCTCTGCATCCCTCTGCTGGTCCCTGCTGGTCTCCACTGGCCTCTGCTGACCATTGCTGACCACCCTTGATGCTTCTGACAACGTATAATGATTACTACGTGTTACTGCTTGCCCCTGCTGGTCTCCACTGGCCTCTGCATCCCTCTGCTGGTCCCTGCTGGTATCCACTGGTCTCCACTGGCCTCTGCTGACCATTGCTGACCACCCTTGATGCTTCTGACAACGTATAACGATTACTACGTGTTACTGCTTGCCCCTGCTGGTCTCTGCATGCCTTCGCATCCCTCTGCTGATTACTGCTGACCTCTGCTGGACCCTGCTGACCACTGCTGACCACTGCTGACCCTTGTTAACAACTTCTGCCATGATATATATGTATTAAAACATTGTATAATGTAAATCTATGGCAATAAATGATATAATTACAAAGAATTCTATGTCTTCTCATCATTTTTTACCTTTCCTTTCCTCTCCAAATCATTACCTTAGTTATAAGACTCCCTGAAACTTCTTGGTTTCCCTATACCCACTAGAAAGTCCAGAAACACCTCGGAAGTCCTGAAATTTAGAACTTTGCTAAAAATTCAGGGTTTCCAAGAATTTTCGGCGTTTCCAAGAAATTCCAGGACTTCCCAGCTGTTTCAGGACTTTCCAGCTGTTTCAGGGCTTTCCAGCTGCCAGGAATTTTCGTTGGTTCAGGCCTTTTTCGGTGTTTCAGGCTTTTCTAGCTGTTTCAGGACTTTCCAGCTGCCAGGAATTTTCGTTGTTTCAGGCCTTTTTCGGTGTTTCAGGCTTTTCCAGCGGTTTCAGGACTTTCCAGTTGTTTCAGGACTTTCCAGCTGTCAGGAATTTTTCGTTGTTTCAGGCCTTTTTCGGTGTTTCAGGCTTTTCTAGCTGTTTCAGGCTTTTCTAGCTGTTTCAGGACTTTCCAGCTGCCAGGAATTTTCGTTGTTTCAGGCCTTTTTCGGTGTTTCAGGCTTTTCCAGCGACTTCAGGACTTTCCAGCTGTTTCAGGACTTTCCAGCTGCCAGGAATTTTTCGTCGTTTCAGGCCTTTTTCGGTGTTTCAGGCTTTTCCAGCTGTTTCAGGACTTTCAATTGTTTCAGGACTTTCAAAAATTTAAACGGGACCCCGCTGAAATCTTCTCGAGGAACTTAGAAATTTTTCGGGCGAGAATTTTTAAGAGAACTTGAGAATTTCAAAGTTAATTTTTCGTTTTAGACTTTGTTATGAGGAGGACATGATAATGGAAGAGGTGGCAGGTATCTTATAACTATGGGAATGCTTTGGAGAGGTAAAGGAAGGTAAAAATGACGAGAAGACATAGAATTCTTTGAAATTATAACATTTATTGCGATAGATTTACATTATACAGAGTTTTAATACATATATATCAGGGCAGAAGTTAGAAACAAAGGTCAGCAGTGGTCAGCAGGGGCCAGAGGGGTCAGAGGGGCCAGCAAGGGACAGTAGAGACCAGCAGGGGCAAGGAGTAACACGTAGTAATCGTTATACGTTGTCAGAAGCATCAAGGGTGGCCAGCAGTGGTCAGCAGAGGCCAGTGGAGACCAGCAGGAACCAGCAGAGGGATGCAGAGGCATGCAGAGACCAGCAGGGGCAAGCAGTAACACGTAGTAATCGTTATACGTTGTCAGAAGCATGAAGGGTGGTCAGCAGTGGTCAGCAGAGGCCAGTGGAGACCAGCAGAGGCCAGCAGAGGGATGCAGAGGCATGCAGAGACCAGCAGGGGCAAGCAGTAACACGTAGTAATCGTTATACGTTGTCAGAAGCATGAAGGGTGGTCAGCAGTGGTCAGCAGAGGCCAGTGGAGACCAGCAGGGACCAGCAGAGGGATGCAGAGCCATGCAGAGACCAGCAGGGGCAAGCAGTAACACGTAGTAATCGTTATACGTTGTCAGAAGCATCAAGGGTGGTCAGCAGTGGTCAGCAGAGGCCAGTGGAGACCAGTGGAGACCAGCAGGGGCCAGCAAAGGGATGCAGAGCCATGCAGAGACCAGCAGGGGCAAGCAGTAACACGTAGTAATCGTTATACGTTGTCAGAAGCATCAAGGGTGGTCAGCAGTGGTCAGCAGAAGCCAGTGGAGACCAGTGGAGACCAGCAGGGACCAGCAGAGGGATGCAGAGCCATGCAGAGACCAGCAGGGGCAAGCAGTAACACGTAGTAATCGTTATACGTTGTCAGAAGCATGAAGGGTGGTCAGCAGTGGTCAGCAGAGGCCAGTGGAGACTAGCAAGGACTAGCAGAGGCCAGCAGAGGGATGCAGAGGCATGCAGAGACCAGCAGGGGCAAGCAGTAACACGTAGTAATCGTTATACGTTGTCAGAAGCATCAAGGGTAGTCAGCAGTGGTCAGCAGAGGCCAGTGGAGACCAGTGGAGACCAGCAGGGACCAGCAAAGGCCAGCAGAGGGATGCAGAGGCAAGCAGTGGCAAGCAGAGACCAGCAGGGGCAAGTAGTAATCGTTACACGTTGTCAGAAACATAAGCGGTGGTCAGCAGAGGCCAGCAGAAGCCAGGCAAGACATGAATGAAAATATATTTTTCATTATGGTGCTTTGCTTATGTGCGCCTACATAGGTCGAAAAGTAAAAATGCCAGGGAAGTCGAGATTCCAAATCGTATGCCGTTGATGCGAGGGTCGGATGTTAGTTGTTCAAGAGCGAGAAGGCAAATGCAAGCCTTCATCTCTCGACTCTCACGAGACGGCCCGAAATTACTTCGGGCAGCCTCGTAGAATCGAAAGAAAGTGCATGTGCAGTTTGCCTTTGTCGACTCTCCGAAACTCCACGAGCTCACGTACGCGTGATCTGACATAGTGTGAGAAGTGCACCCGGTGCACAATCTGGCATCACTGTCAGCAAGATTGCTAATACTGGCGCAGGCCGCAGACTCACAGTGGAGCAGACAACTTCGTGACGTGAGCGTCTCATGGGGTTGAATATGTTTCGCACTATTATGTTTTCGCGTAAGTTTAATCTCGATTTGTCATTAGAAACCGTCATTTGTATCTTGGAATTAGAAAGATATTGCTGATAAACGTCTGATTGAAATGTGTCGTAGTTTGTTCGTTTGACTATAAATCTAATGTGACGTACGTATGTGTGTCGTGCTGGTTCGTCTGTAAATCTATTTTGCGTCTAATTCTATCTAACAGATTGTATTGCATAAGATGCGGCAACTAAAACGAGCTAAATCGATATCATTTTCATTTCGCTATTATTATAACCCAATTGGTCGTATTACGTTGTGAGAATGTTTTATAACCTCGTGAGTTAGAACGAACTTTCGCCGATAGTAAGAAATTATGCATTTTTTCTTTAGAGTTCGTACGAATGTTATGTGCATAAGTGAAATTTGATAGAATACTATTCCTGATACAGTGTACAAGTACTCGGGGTGTTATTCTTCTGCTTTTAACAGAGGCAAGACGATCAAACAATTTTATTTTTATTTCCAGCCACCGTTGGTCAGGGTTTAACATCCCTGATACGTGGCAATGTAGCCCTGACAGGATGTCCTGCCTCTTTGGCAACTCAGGCCAGGGATATGAGTACATTACCAGAAAAGGTTAAAAGGAAATCTTACAGTCCTTTCCAAAATACTAACAACTGGGGAGAGTATGCAATGGCACGAGTAGACGATCTGATAAATTGGGGTCGCAAAGGATCGATATGGCCGCTGACATTCGGTTTGGCTTGTTGCGCCGTCGAGATGATGCATATCGCTGCACCCAGATACGATATGGACAGATACGGCGTGGTGTTCAGAGCTTCTCCCAGGCAAGCCGACGTTATTATAGTGGCTGGCACACTAACGAACAAAATGGCACCTGCATTGAGGAGAATATACGATCAAATGCCTCATCCGCGATGGGTAATTTCTATGGGAAGCTGTGCCAATGGTGGTGGATATTACCATTATAGTTACTCCGTTGTAAGAGGATGCGATAGAATTATACCCGTGGACATATACGTACCAGGTAACTAGTTCTTCTCTTCTTTGAAAATACTCATACTTATATCATTAATAATATTATAGGATGTCCCCCAACGGCAGAAGCTTTGATGTACGGTATACTTCAATTACAGAAGAAGATCAAGCGTATGGATCTTGTACAAACATGGTACAGGAAATAATGTAAATGTACTTTACATATGTAGTATAATTTATGTGTACATAAAAGTGGTAATCCCTTCTTAAAATGATGTACTTTATTATGTAACCATGTTTTTTGCTCAAGATTTCTTTCTTTTTTTATTTCTTCGAAAGTTATTTATAAATGCTATAAATAAAAAAATTCAATAGCGACAACATTGGTTCCAACAATATAATTTTCTTGGTCATGAATGCATCGTTACACAAAAAAAAACGGTAAAACATTTTTACAGACACTCGGTTCGTTATATTTTTCTCTGTTTTACTCTTTATTATCTTTACTATTTAAAATATGTACAATATCTTAATTTAAACGGAGCAAAGAGTTAGGCGGAACATCTTTGCCACTTAGCTTACCACATATTAAGGCCCCTTTAGTTTTTCTTTATATATTGCTCTATCTAATACTACTTACGATTGTATTTTATTTTAATTATACATTACATACATACACTGTTTAATAAAAACACATCACCCGATACGCATCGTGCGCGTGATACGTACGATCTCTTCAAAACACATCCTGCGACCTATTAAACCTACTATTTCATCTTTCCATATACAAGAGTACATTTTATGAACGTATTGTATTTCTGTTGTTAGCCACAGCCAGAATTTTAAACGCCTACTTTGGTCATTGAAGAGCCTAGTATGCTGGAAATATAATCAACAATTCGTTGACAATTCGCGTCTACGAGAGATGCTTTTAAATCCTGATGAAATTTCACTTTCGGTATGAGTTTTTCAAATATTTCACGCCTATCGTATTTCCGTACCATAAAGAATTCGATCAGTCTCGACTCGAAGACCAATCGAAAGCAATACAAATGCCAATGCGATACATAAACCTAAAAAGACAAATAAATTAATCGTTACGTTTTTATATGATGTTGCGCACAAAATTTTTCGTAGAGAGCAATTGAGACGTGAAAGAAGAATTGGTCAAACCACGAATATTGTTGTTTATCTTTCGTGAGAAATAGAATTCGTCAACATTTATCAACATATCTTCGAATATACCCTTCGATATAACCCTACTTCTTGTTACAACGAAATCTATCTTTACAATATAAATTAAATTACAAGGTCGATTTCAAAATGAAGTCTTTGTGCGACGGTGTAACGATTACGTTGAAGAAATGCACCCTAATTCTCGTTTGACATGCGCTGCCCCGACACTCTCGGCAATTCTTCTACCCCTTTGTTTTTATTTCCGTTTTGCAGATGTCACGCTCGCGAGAAAAAGAAAAACCGCGTTTTGAGATAATTTACAATGTACAAAATAATAAAATATATCAAAGTTCTGTACATATGTTCACCTTTTGCGTGTCTCCGTGACGTAGAAAACGAGTTTGTACAAACCTATACATGTATAGCCTTTATGAAAGTTTGAAAATGAAAATCTGTGATCATTGGACGTCTGAACATATATTCGAACGACGAACAGCGCGTTTGGATACCAGCCAATACCCATACTAAATAATTAAATTCCGTTTCTTCGATCCCGATCGCGATTGATTCGCTCCACCGCGATACGACAGTGAATTTTTTATTTCTCGTAAGTTTTTGTTCTGCATTTCGATAACAAAATTGTACAAACCCTAGCACAGTGCGTGCCTCGAATATTTTACACGTTTCGAATACGTTAAGTATAGGAATCTTTTTTGACATTATTAAAGAATGGCTTGTGACGTGGAAGGAGGTGGATTACTGGGCAGGGCGGGCACGGGTCCGTCGGTCCACTGTATCAGGGAATGCTCGCCCATTTGTGTGCTCTGAAAGTGGTCTTTCAAGAGTGTCTGTGAAAAACTGCAGTGCATTTGATACGCCTCGCTCTCGCGATTCGGATCACCACAAATTCTGTAAAGGTCTGAAACAGAAGTTCCTTGTTTAAGAACGTATCGTTTTATTGCGAATTTCTGCGCGAGAGTCCGTTTAACCCCTTCCCGTGCTTTGACGAGTCTGACCAGTGATGGACATGCGCGCTAGAATTTTCTCTCGTAGGATACCTTTTTGCGCATGCGTTAGAAAAGAGGTGCATGTTTTGTCCCAGACTCGCGGACAGCAAATCACGATCGTGATTGGTTGATTTTTATCTCTGTTAGAAAGCAGTTTAGCATCAATCTGGTCCATTTACCGCGAATTTACGCCCGGATTTCGTCCAGCTAAATGCCACGGGAAGAGGTTGATAACTTAAAACGGGATTATACCTTTGAGTATAGCAGTGGCCCACAATTGTACGTGAACGTCAGGTATCTTCGAAGCTAGCTGCATGGCAGGCGTGACCATGTTCATAGATTCTCTACTATTCCCCAAAGAAAGAAATATGTGCCCCAATAGTACGAGACTACACGACGTGAGTCTGTTCAAATCTTCGGAGTTGGCCATTTTTAGAGTTTCCCTGAGATATCTCCTAAGGAACGCAACGATAAATTTAGTTATATGCAAATATAAGGCGAAGCTTTAAATCGATATAACGGTTCGTACTTTGCTTCGTTGTATCTGGCTCCGAAAAACGCTTGCAATCCTTGGACGTAATACGCCGCTGCTCTCAAAGAATGGGAATAAGATGGTAACGATTCGGGATTAATTCGTTCGAGCAAAGCGCCTAATTCCGCATCCCTTTTAGTTCGAAGATACACTATCGCCAAATTTAAATTCGCAAAAGTCCAAAGTTCTCTTTCTTGCGACGTCTGTTGGAAGAGATAAAATCCGATGATGTTATAGAAACCAAAACTATGCTAACTTTTTTATATCTTTTAGTCTTACTCTGAGGGCGGCTGTAAACTGAGCTTCTGCGGCTTCCATGCAATTCATCGACATTGCATATAAACCTAATAAAGCGTGCAGTTGCGGTCTATGACCTTGGAGCAACCTTGGCTGCTTCCTACAAAGCTGGCAAGCTTGAGAAATTTCGGCGAGGGCCACGCTTTTATTTCCCATCACAAGCCGGCACATCACTATATGCTCCAACAGCATCAGTTGAAAAACGGATAATATAGGTTTGTTATCGACGACTGTAAAATAATACAGACATTGTATTAATTGTGATAGTTATGTAGAACAATGACGAAACATTATGCTGTATTTACTTTTCAGCTTTTCAATTTGGGTTAACGCTTTGTCCGTATATTTTTGAGCTTTGTCCATGTAACCAGCTTGCATCGAGTGCATGACTGTTACTAAGTAAACCAAAACGTACAAATGGTCCTTTGGCATCCATATGAACATATCCCCGATGTTCGAACCTGTGACTATTTCATCCGCTGGCCAACTAGGAGATATTATGGTCTGTATACTCTGTTGCAACTGCTTCAAACAAGGCTTCACACTTTTGACCTGTTAAGTGTAAGTGACCTTTTAGAATAATTTCCTAAATACCATACAATCTTTATACAACTGTACATAATAAACTATTTCGTGCTTACCTGACCGGCCATTAAATAATGACAAACTTGTAGTACCAAAAAATATACTTTCAAATATTCTTTTTGGTGCGGACTACCTTGCCAGTTCTCAACATGGTGTCCAGCAGAGTTTAAAAGCGGATGGACCTCCGTAAACTTTTTGTCTATCAATAAAAGCATACACCGACTCAATAGGAACAAGACTCGCGTGTAACTCGCATTACTGATATGAGAGTAATCGACACCTACTGCGAGCAAACTACTGGCAGCCACGAAATCTTTCTCCGACGCGTGTATTTGCTGAAATATATAAAAACGAGATCAGTATGAAACTGCTTCGCTAATGATATACGTTCGACGCTATGTAGAACTTACGGCCAGTTGGAAAATAAGTCTACAGTGCCAATATACATTGTGTTGGGATAGTTCTATAGCTTTCCTCAATATTGGCTTACTGAGATTCGGTTGCTGCTGTTGCTCGTACAATTCGGCGACTACGCTCGCTGCCTCGAACTTTACATCGTCGAAGGTGTTTATATTTTGACTCAATCGCCACTGAAACATAACGTGAACGATAAAATCGTGTTGAGACGGTTTTTGACACGGCAATTAATCCCCGATCAATTGATACGTCACGTTACGACGGTACCAAAATAAAAAGAAAGGTTAGAATCGCGATCGAAAGGGATACGGATATTTACGTGAAATACGCAGCAAAGACGAATGATATTATCGAGGAACGCTGCGTGCAAGCGGTCGTGCCGCGAATATTACCGAGACTTACCGCTTGTTCTAAATGAGACCGCGCCAAATCGATGTTTTTGGTATGCGTGAGGAGGATGTTACCAAGCTGAAGATGAGTACGTGCTTCGACCCTCGGTGGCGGCTTAAAATTAAACACCGCTTGCAAACACTGTATGCACGATTTAATATTCGGCGGACTCGAGGTTCGAAAGTTTTCTGCTAGTCCTAACAACGACAGATACCAAGCGTCCTGCGAAGACGCCATTTTGACATTTCACGCGGAAAATCTCCAGTCGTGATAACACACGGTCTGCTGGGCTTCCCGTGCAGAACTCGCGTCGCGGTTCTAATCAAACTGTGTCACTTTCCCGAACGGCGTGATACCCGATTCCGCGACCACGGGGTTTACAAACTCGCGGTGCCCCGTCGGATACGTTTCCCCTGGAAACCGCTGTATTGCGTAATGTTTACATACATATGTAACACATTTCCTACGCTATTGCTTCACATTTTTTATACACGCACGAGGTATTAACGTTCGCGTCCACGAACAGTCGATGTTCCGAATGCAACGCGAACCGAGGCGTACCGCGGCATTATTCATTTTAATATTTTCAATACAGAACTCCAACGAACCGAATTCGCTGTCTGCGTTAGAATCACGATGTAACTGAAACATTCTAGGGAAATATCGTTTTCCTGATCTGGACGAGGGTGGATTCAAATTCACAAAGCTCGAAGAAATACTTCCAACTTGTACGAATTAGCGAACTATTTGAATGAGGAGAACAGTGGACCAAAATGAACCTGGCACAAGCCAGGAATTTCGCGACTGAAATATATAGAAACAGTACCAAAGTCCCAGAGTTAATAAAAATTCGTTGTAAAAATCCTGTACGGGCGCGACAGACATTGAATGCGAATTCGTGAACATTTTATCTAAGGTTAGAACTTAGTAGTCCTTCGTTATTTCGTATATATAAAAATAAGTAACGCAAGTATATTGTAATAAAGTTTCTACTATGAGTGTTAATAATATATTTATCGATCATCAGTTTCCGGATGACACTTCATAAGTTACGAGCATAACATAGTATGTAAGTAATACGTCGCAAGAAAATATTTCTTTCAGTGTCGAATTATATATGTTTATAGAAATGTGTATTTTGGTAGTTAGGCATGTAGAGAAGTAATGTAACACATTATATATGTGATACAAAAATAAACACGCTATTTAAATATCAATAAAGTGTTGTATCCTTCATGTTCATTGTACCTTTACTTTCCTGAATTCGAGATAGTTTTATTGAAATCGAAATATTCCTAATATTCCTGGAATAGTTCATGGTCTACGACGCTAGATGGCGCTGTGGCGACAGGTGAGTTTTCTGTCGCGAGGTTGAGCTCTACTTTACCGATTAAAGGGTTGTTATAAGAAAAAGGTTAATGTTAATGTTTTTTGTTTTTTGATCGCTGGGAGACGGCTAGTAGTTTGTTTAAACAGTTATAAGAATAAACTCGGAGTTCTCCAGATATTCAAAAGAGTCATATGTTCGAATTTATTACGGCTACAATTATTAATATATTAGGTTTAACGCGATATCAAAGTATGTGCCTATGAGATCGTTGAAGCTCCTGCAATACATTCTGCACACGTGAAACACTGATTACTAGACTGCGGATATTTATGCATTTATGGGAAATTTAGATTGTCAAAAAACTATAGACTGCATTTAATATGCAAAAATATAACAAAAACTCAAGTAAGATAAGAATTATTGTATTTAGGGGTTGAAAGAACCCTCTACGAAGCTCTTATTTTATTAATTTTATTAATAAATTTATGAATTTGCATAAAAATCCGCATTCTACTGATTACTAATTCCATGTTAAAGATTAGAGTACCGTAGAGGTTAAGGAACATGCCTGGTATGGCTCGTTGAACGTCGATCAGATTTTAATGGAGATAACCGAACACTTTGTTAGTGAATACATATGCGTATATACATACACATACGTCATATATTTAAATTACACAACACACAAATTACAGCGTTTTATAAACATTATGAACAAAATTGTAGGAAATCGTGTAGGAAGAATACGTGAAAATTTCGTCGCGGGTGCGCTCGATTTTCTATTTCCGTAAATGAGGTATATCTGCGTTAAAGATTAATATCGACGTAGCGGGCGACCTAATCGATTATTTGATCGGAAGTTGGAGGAGGGGTGCCGAGAATATGTGATGAAGCGGCACAGAAAATCGCGAGACTCGTTCAACCCTTTATCCAGAGAAAAAGACAAACGACATAACCAAGTTGATCGTGCTCTCTTGCAATCTTTTGCGAACTAGTTGCCAGTACAGAGACCGAAATTACTAAACGAGAATGGCCGGGTAAGGACAACACGTTGTAACGTTCCAAATAAAAGGTTTCGATCGAGTCTGCGGCCGCGATCTTCCGTGACGCGGAAAGGGTTAACTGCGTCGCGAAGTTAGCGCGACCAGAGCGATAAATAGGTCCGTGCTATAGCTTCTGCTATCCGCTATACGTTAAAAAACAATTCTGTCGCTCTGTCGATTCACATCGCGCGGCGTGCAAGGCGCGTGCGTGACCCACGCGTGAAATTTTTGGCCTTGTTGCGCTCGTGACGGTCGGGGCCAAGATGGCCGGCGCCCATGACTCGCGTCGCATCCTCAGTCGTTTGAAATCGCTTCGAGCTACGAATAAAGAACAAAACAACGTGACCAGAAACAAAAGAGGGACGAACAGAGAGGGAGGGCGTTGGATCCGTCTCGCGGTGGTCACCTTTTTTTTTTTTATCGTGTCGGGACTTGATACGGCCGGGCTCTCGCCGTTTTCACGTTTTAATCGCTACGCGTTACAAGCACTACTGCCCCGATGAAGTAAATAAGATGATCGGTAAACTCGAATATTAAAATCGAATATCGTACAGATAATATTACACTAACTACATATGTATTGGATATGTATCATATTTTACACGTGTACACACACAAGTGCATAAACACCCTCGGTCGCAACGAATGCGACGCGACGAATGCGGCTTATCCGATAATAATATGTATCTTTATACGCACGTACGCGTGTACGCATGCGCACACGTACATGCATCAACAGTCGTGGAGAAAATCTAGAGGGCGCGATATTAATTTAGTCAAACTCTTTCGTTACGAATTCAAGCAAATGGGTGGGGGGGTTACTAATAACAAATATTTATTTATCCACTCGATTTTCTACTAATAAATTACAGCCTGTCTGCTCGACGTTCTCCACGACTGTACGTATCTACACGAATTTGTACATAAGGCATCACGATATATTCATTTTACTCTCGTAGGTATTTTGATCGTACCCGAGGGTCGTGGATCCTGTAACCGCCATCAAGGATCTCGACTCCTCGGAGGCGGAATCGAACGCGGAACGGCGCGAGCGACTCGACGTTGACGCGGGAGGCACAAAAATACGCGTCAAAATTGCGTTCAGGGGGGAGTCTCATGTGAGACCTCAAAAATATCAATTTTTTTTGCTTTAGTTTTTGAAAGTATATGGCCACCCCTGGGAAAAATTTTAATGGGAGATTCTAGAGGCCAAAATAAGACGAAAATCGAGAATACCAATTTCTTAATAGAGACTTTGTTAAAAAGTTATTAACGTTTAAAGTTCCGCAGGTACTGAATTTTTTCCCCGAAAATGCGCAAGATTTCAGGGATATGTGCAATGACCAAAAATGATTGTAATTGACCACTGTAACTAAATATAATTTTTTTAATATGATTTTAAGTATTTTAATTTCGTCGAAAAATTTCACACCTTCTCGAATTTTTTCCTAGAAAGTGGGTAGGATTTCGGGGGTATGTCTATTCACCAAAAATCATTGTAATTGATCCCTGCAACTAAATATAATTTTTTTAGTATGATTTTAAATATTTTAATTTCGTCGAAAAATTTCACACCTTCTCGAATTTTTTTCTCGAAAATGGTTAGGAATTCGAGGGTATGTATATTCACCAAAAATGATTATAATTGACCCCTGCAATCGAAAATAATTTTTTTAAAACGATTTGAAAATTTTTTTTCCCGTCGAAAAATTTCACATCTTCTCGAATTTTTTTCTCGAAAGTGGGTAGGATTTCGGGGATATGTCTATTCACCAGAAATGATTATAATTGACCCCCGAAACCGAAAATAATTTTTTCAGAACGATTTAAAATTCTTTTTTTTTCGTCAAATATTTAGGCACCTTATCCTGTCGATTTTTCTTAAAAATTCGTTTTTCATTTTTAATAAATTTGTTTGACGCCCTACAGAAAAGTTGTCTAATACTTTTTTGTAGGTGCCCATAAGCTCTACTTCAGAAAAAAGTTTCATTGAATTATATTCACTATTGTAGGAGTTATGGCTGTTTCACTATTGAAACATTTTTATGGGGTTTTTCTTACTTTACGGGGTCAAGGAACAATTTTTCCAATATTTTTGTGATTTCTACATATTCTCCATTAAAATACGCGTCGTTTGCCTTTTTGAACATTAAGATCGTCCAATCCGTTCAGGAGTTATGGCATTTTAAAAATTCGTATGACATTTTCGGGAACCAGAAATTACATTTTCTGTCAGGAATTTTTTCCTCGAAAGTGCGTAGGATTTTGGGGATATGTGTAATGACCGAAAATGATTGTAATTGACCCCTGCAACCGAAAACAATTTTTTTAGAACGATTTGAAAAAAATGTTTTTCGCCGAAAAGTTTCACACCTTCTCGAATTTTTTTCTAGAAAATGCGTCAGATTTCGGGGATATGTGTGATAATAAAAAATGATTATAATTGACCTCCGCAACTGAAAATAATTTTTTTAGAACGATTTGACAAATTTTTTTTTCACCGATAAATTTCACAACTTCTCGAATTTTTTTCTAGAAAATGCGTAAGATTTTGGGGATATGTGTAATGACCAAAAATGATTGTAATTGACCCCCACGATCGAAAACAATTTTTCCATAACGATTTGAAATATTGTGGATCGTAGAATATTATCTTCTATTCCCAAAGGATAGCCAAGTAAACTGCAAAAAAGAATCATAACATCAGATGTGATATTCCCTTAAAAAAAAAATTAAGAAAAATGGTTCAATTTTCTTTCATTCGCACGGGACTCCCCCCTTTAAGGAGACCAAAAGAAATTTATTCCATTCCGTCTCACTCCGCATAAATCAACAGTCTTTGGAACGCTGAATCAAGAACACTGCTCTCCCCCGTGCGATTCAGCGTCGACGCTCGCGCCATTTTGCAGTCCCATTCACCCGTTAAAACATTTCATCTATCCGACGGTATATAAAATACATAGTGGCCACTGTACTCGCGGCAGCACCCAGAAAACATATATTTACTCTTAAACGTCGAACAGCCCGCGTCAGATAAGCGTTTTCACGCGAAACGTAATCGAAATATCCCCGCCGGACGAACGGAAAAGCGCCTCGACATTTAAACGTTCCGATTACCGGAAGAACGAAATTTTCGTCGCAGTATCGCGACTCCATTAAATTTTTTTACACGGCAATTTATACGCCGCGAAACCGGTATCGGATGCAAATCACGAATTTCAAGAACATTCCGAGTTACACATTCCGCGCGCGCGCGGATTCTTCAAGGCGCTTCGCTGTTCCTGAATTACGCGAACGATCGAGCCTTGGAAAATGGGGGATCGTTCTCACAGAAAAATTTCGACAAAGGAAAAGAAGAGCATGACGCGCGCCATCGAGCAATTACCATAGCATTTAACGAATGCAAATCGAAAAGCGGGCTCGTACACGATCATTTTTGATTTACAAGACAGTGTTCGTTCGTAAACGTACGCCGATGATTTACAGTTGGCGTTCCGACGACGAGCTTACATAAATATTTTGTTTAAGTTAGATTCGCAAAAACTCTTTAAAACGCTAGTTGCTGATTTATAGCACTTAAACATCCACGTTCATTAAATATACGAAGGTAGACGTACTCTGTTTAGTTCAGTTACGTTACCCCATCCGTCTTTCTATGTACCTGGCAGCGAACACTCGGCGAACAGGGTGTCTCGGGGGATTACCGAATTCGAAAACGTGGCGCTATAGTGGTCCAGCCACTATACACGATCGTACCTAAGAGTTTCGTTAATTGGCTCGTCCCAAGTGCCATCGGGCAAAAGCAAACGATCGAGGCTACGAAAATTCTTTCACGGAATCTCGACGGATCGTTTGGCAATGGCGATCGTTCCCCCGCGAGGACAAACAGAACGAGATCTTCCGCGAGAGGTGTCTCGAATCAGAGGACCACGCCGGACAATCGGATTCCCTCCTGATCTTCCTCGGTTTCGACGTCGAAAACGTTCGCGGGGACCTTGGCCGGTGACTTCGACGTGCGGCTAGGCGGTCACTTGGCGTGCTGCTTCGGAAGATGTCGTTTCATGTGGAGGGCCAGATGGTCGCTTCTGGCGAACGAGCGCTCGCACACGGCGCACTTGAACGGCTTCGCGCCGGTGTGCTTTCGATAGTGGCGAGTCAGCTCGTCGCTCCTGGCGAACCGCCATTCGCATTCTGGCCACTGGCACTGGTACGGTTTTTCACCTGAAATCAAAACGGGAACGATGTATCGGCGCCTCGTTACTTTCGCTAGCCTCCCAGCGACTCTTTCGCTCGTTTATTCCGTTCCTCGAAGCGCGTGGAATCGTTCATTTTTCAAATTTAACGCGTTGACTGTCGACTAGATTAAATTTTAAACCACGTAGCTTCAAATTGCTTTTGGAAAGATAGTATCAAAAGACTCTGATAAGTATCTTTAAGGGGGCTTTGTTTTTGAGATATTTTGATTTAACCCTTTTAGTGCCAAGTTTGTTATGGTTAGAGAAAAAGCTCATAAAAACCAAACTAAGAATGATATTTACAAAATTCAAAAATCAGCATATTACGAAACAAAGAAAGAATAAAGTAATTGCAATTCCATATTTATTGCAAATTATATAAATAACATAAAATATGATAAAAAACATAGAAACAAGTTTCTCTTCTACAAACAATATTTACACATGAGAATAATCATTGTTTGATCACAGTTTTATATAGGTCACGTAGCATGAAGTATAAGTATTTGATTTTCAATGATTTTTTAATAAATAATCGATTCAAAATATGACGAGGCTTTGTTAAAAAGTTATTAACGTTTAAAGCGGAACACGTACTGAATTTTTTTCTCGAAAACGCGCAGGATTTCGAGGGTATGTCTATCCACCAAAAATGATTGTGATTGACTCCCACAACCGAAAATAATTTTTCCAGAACGATTTGAAATTTTTTTTTCCCGTTGACAAATTTCACACCTTCTCGAATTTTTTTCTAGAAAGTGGATAGGAATTCGGGGGTATGTGTATTCACCAAAAATGATTATAATTGACCCCCGAAACCAAAAATAATTTTTTCAGAACGATTTGAAATTTTTTTTTTCGTCGAAAACTTTAACACCTTCTCGAATTTTTTTTCTAAAAAGTGGATAGGATTTTGGGGGTATGTCTATTCACCAAAAATGATTGTAATTGACCCCTGTAACTAAATATAATTTTTTTAGCGTGATTTTAAATATTTTAATTTCATCTAAAAAGTTCAGTACCTGCTCGAATTTTTTTCTCGAAAATGCATAGGATTTCGGGGGTATGTGTAATGATCAAAAGTGATTGCAATTGACCCCTGTAACTAAATATAATTTTTTTAGTGTGATTTTAAATATTCTAATTTCATCTAAAAAGTTCAGTATCTGCTCGAATTTTTTTCTCGAAAATGCGTAGGATTTCGGGGGTATGTGTAATGATCAAAAATGATTGTAATTGACCCCTGTAACTGAATATAATTTTTTTAGTGTGGATTTTAAATATTCTAATTTCATTTAAAAAGTTCAGTACCTGCTCGAATTTTTTTCTCGAAAGTGGATAGGATTAACTTGAGAATTAATTTTTCTAGTATGATAGTAATAAATCCTGTCATCCACATATAGGTAACGTGGTAGTCAAAGTGTTAAAACAGTAGTAAGAACAGTGGTAGAATTAATTGTTCTAGTTCCACAGTGAAGAGTCCTATCATCTAACGTTGACAGTCAAAGCGTTAAGTTACAATTGTAGCGGTTTTATTCGGTGCAGGGGAGACGGGAGCAAAGGAAGACCGAAGCAGTTCGAAGGAAAAGATACCAAACGTCGCAGAAGTATTAAAAGAAGTTCCAACCAAGGGACTTTGAGACTTCGAGACCCTCAGCTAGTTTCAACCACGCGACTTTCATATTCTCAGCGAATTAATAACAACGGCGAAGAGATTTCGGGTACGTCGAGTGTAACACGCCGGCTGTTAATGGCGGCGTTTTCGAACGACGTCGCGCCTCTCGTTGATCCCCCGTTCGACGGGTTAAAGCGCCGTTTCATCCGATCTAGGCGCAATTTTCACGGCGGGTAAAAGTTAACTGGACTCCAGGAGGCATATGCATCTGGGGTCCGTTGTATCGGTTGCAGCGAAGCAGAGCAAGAGCAGGAGCAGGATCGGCGCAGCGAGAACGCGGACGGATTGCGCTAGAATACAGGTGAGCGTGTTGCGGCATGCGGGTACAGTTAAAGGTCACCGCGGCATCTCTCCGTAGCCTAAGGTTCTTCGTATACCTATCGGCCGAGCAAAGAGCAACGCTTTGTTCTTTAATAGGTCCCTTTCCTTGGCCCAACTACCGACGGAATCGCACCGGTGCAACGGTTTGTGCTCCTCGCCGCGCTTCCTCCCCCGATTCCTACGGAATTCATTGCTCCTATCCAACAACTTCGATTTCCATCCTATTCCATCATCGTTAACGCTACATCACCGATATACTTATGGTTAAACCGTAGATCTATAGGCAAACTCAAATTTTAATTAACCCTTCGCACTTCCATGTCGAGTGTGATTCGACGTCAATTTTTATCTCAGGAGCTCGTACGTAAAGAGATATCGTACACTTGAAAATTACAAAATACAACAACAGTGTAAATAAAACAGATATTTTAACAGGTAAGTTTCAAATAAAACGCTTAAAAGCGTTGGGAGCTGCTGGTAACAAAATTGAAATATAATTCGGAGTGCAAAGGGTTAATCGAATTAATTTCGAAACGAGATCTTTTAGATCGTCTCAACCCCTAAGTATAATAGTTCGTATCTTATGTATCTCTGTATTCTAGCGCTACTTCGCTTAGTGGTCGAGCGCTTGCGAGAGAGTCAAGAGCGTAGCCCTCTGGCGGCAAGCACGGGAAGCAACGCCACAGTATTTCTTATAAACGTCGATTTTCCCTTAGAAAGCTACAGTAAATTTTCAAAAATCCAATCGAATACATTTCATTTTGACCATTACATTCTTCCCGTTCTAATTCCCGCGTTAACTCGTTTCTAATTCGATCGTATCGTCTTTGGCTAAGGGCGATCGCCTCCGAGGGATTAATTTGGTCTTCGCGGAAGCTCGGCTCCGCGGATTCAATTACTCGCGGTTTCTGTTAAGCGATTTTATTACGAGATTCGCGCCCCGTAAGAGCTCGCATAACGATGGTCGATACTGCCTACTCGCATTCCAATTACATTTACCAATTAACTACACCGGCCTTTGCGCAGCTGACGCGAGAAACGCGGCGAGTTCCTCTGACGCGCGTTGTCAACGCAGCTATTCGCCTTCGAGTTCCCTCGATTGTACTGCACGATTTACGGCTTTCGCGCGTTCTAACCGCTTTTCGATTCCACCACGGATAACCGTGAACGGAGAAAATGATCTCCGGTAGCCGGATTCATTTATAAAATTTTAATGGGAGATTCTGGAGGCCAAAATAAGACGAAAGTCAAGAATACCAATTTGTTAATTGAGACTTCGTTTAAAAGTTATTAACGTTTAAAGGTCTGCGTGTAAAACAACTGAGAACCACTATCACGCGTGCACAGCGGAACTTTAAACGTTAATAACTTTTGAACGAAGCCTCGATCAACAAATTACTATTCTTGATTTTCGTCTTATTTTGGCCTCCAGAATCACCCTGTATAATCTTCTTTGTTTCGCGAATAAATAAACGAAATTGAACTTCCTCCGAGCCATTAGAGGCGTTTAAAAGGCGCGAAGAAGGGACGCGGAACAAGGAAACGTATTTTCCGGCGAAACGACTGTGGAAGAGGCACGCCAGGCATCGGAACTTCGATAAATCAACCGGGGAATACTGTCTGGGGTTTCGTGGAAGGTGTGCGTGCATCGGGGAAACAGTGAGAGAAGACTCGATAGCTGAGAAATACGCCCACGCACGCCGACTGACTCGTTCTCCTCTACGAGAACGGCTCTCTCTCGCTATGGAGACGACCCTAACCGGTCTTAGCCACACGCACGACTCCCATACAATCGGTATTACCACCACGAACGGTATCCATTCACGGTATTACTCGTTCATGAGAATTCCGCGGAGATTTCTTCGAGACGTCGGAGAAAAGGGTCGGCTCGAGCCAGCTTTCGGTAATAGCGTTTCTTCTTCGTGACCAGCCACCCCTGTCGCGTGCCTCCTTCGTTCCTGACTTCTTTCTTAACGCGAGATTTATGGAAACTAGTATTAATTGGTCGTTGCCGTTCCACGAACCTTTTCTCCGAACCTTTTTCCCCCCGCCGTGACGCGAATAATCAGAAACAAACCCAAACGAATCGTTTAAAGCTGTCGCTACTGTTCCTCGAATTAATTTTTAAGAAACGAATAACCCTAAATTAAAAAAGTCTTAGAAGTGGAAGGTATACCCAACGGATGTTCTTTAACGGTAAACAGTAGCAGAAGAATCGCGATCGATGCGTAACCCGATTACGAACAAAAATAGAAAAGTCGTTTCGCTCGTGCCGTCATCTAATTGGCAAGTATTAAGTCATTCGATCGGTAATTCTTGGATCGTGGCAATGGTCGGATCCAGTTTTTCGCGCCTTCCACGGGATAGCTTGAATTTAACGCCGATTCCCTTTTTCACTCTCGAGTTTCTTTCTCCCCCCCCCTCCCGGTTGTGCTCGACGAGTCACGGTTTCCGGCACGTCCGACGTCGGAATCGGAGATTCGCTCGTCGTTCCCCTCGTTTTCTCTCGCCATCGACCCGTGCAACGCAATATCGCTCCTCGATAGCGCTTCTATTTGCGATAAGTCATTACGCGCGTGGATAAGTATACACCATCGGCCATAAATCACCGGCCATTTGGCTCGTCCGCCTTAGAAAATGCAAAGCAACGTTTCCTGAAGCGACCTCATTATCTTACTTTGCTATATATACACTCGCTAATTCACCGTAAAATTCTATAAAACAGAATCTTCCATGGTTGTCTACAATGGCTGTCAAACTATCGAAACCGAGCCATTTCACCGCTTGGACTGCGGGTGATTTCGATGCAAGCACAAGCAGTGTCTTTTATTATTATCAGTATTATTCATTCATTAACGTGAATAAACCCTTTAGTACAAAAGGTGTAATATGTAAGGAAGTACAAATATGAATTTTACATAGTCAAACACGCTTATAAAATTAAAAAAAAATAATTTATAATACATTGCAAATAATTTTAGACTTCCTAC